ATTTATGTTTCTGCTGAAGCGCTTCATTAATAAATAAAAAAACCCAGCTTTGTTATAAATAATAATTCCTGGACAGCTAAAGGTATTTTAACCTGTCTAAGTTCAAATTTATTACAGCTGTATGTTATAGGAATTTCCCTCTGTTCAGTTGAAATGCAACCAAAATATGATATAGTATACCAACGCGTATATAACGCAACCTATCAAAGTGACACTAAACCTGACGCTTATTCTTAAAAAGTGGCTGATCACAGACAGCCTGTGGCTCTGTGGACAGACGACATGAAATGTCCTTATGGATCAGATGTAATATTCTAATTTTACTGTTCGCTTTCAGATATGAGTGATGAGAAATATTATTCCTGTTTAAGTCACTGTTTAAGTTAGAAACTTACAGAGCTCATGGCTTTGGTCTTTGGACTAAAGAGCCCCAAGAAAACATCGGCGTTCACAGAGAAAGCACGACACACACACACACACACACACACACACACACACACACACACACACACACACACACACACACACACACACACACACACATCTATATATATATACAGATATATCTAAATATATCTGTATATATATAGAGAGAGATCTCTCTATATATACAGATATATCTAGATAGCTCTATATATATATAGATCTATATCTCTATATATATGTACCATAAGTTATGGTTCCCATAAGCTTCCATACAAAGGTATGGAAGCTTATTTCCCAGCCCACCATGTGTCATGTGACCAGAATCACATGACACTGACCGCCTTGTCATCGGCGGTCAAACGAGTCTTTCATGACCCGACATTTCTCTTGAACCATGCATAGCTTGTAAACTGAAGAAAGGATCAACCAATCTTAAAGCCCATTAAGTCTCTAATGGGCTTTGTGTTTGCAAGCATTTACTGCAAGGCAAGAGAAGTGATTTGTGACCAAATGATCGCAGATGCCCAACATTCAAAGGCTCTGCTTCTGCTGATCGTTGACGTCAATCTATGACGTCAGATTCGGAGTTTGAATGCGACAGAGAAGTGTCACGTGACCAATGAGCTATGGCAAGCCGTTTTAACATAAATTCGGCAAAATTTCTTTCAAGATATCTCAAATCACGTCACTGGATTTGTAATTTGACGAGACACGTATCCGGAATTACGATTTGAGATATCTTGAACGTAATTATCACTAGTCAAAAGTACAATTTCAGATATCCGAATTAAGAATGACGTTGAAGCCCCTTTGTGCTGCCCAAACTGTTGCCTGTAGAATTTTATGTTTCCTGCACAAAATTGTCCATAAATGCCACAAATTAGAAAGAGCTCGGCAATAATGGACATGCGGAGAACGCAAAACTTTATAAACTATAAGACTGCTAATGATGTCTGCAAAAAATGTCCTGTTTATTCATTTCTGACGAACTGAATGCACTTAAAAACAACTTTGAAAAGCTAAAACTGCTTTGTCAATTCCATTTTCAACATGAAAGTTGTGCATTTTTAAACATCTTTTTTCGTTTTTTCATTTTTTCATTGTTTTATTAAACTTTCAAATTGCCACGTAAATCAGTGACGCTTTGACTAGACAGAATGCCAATTCAAGATATCAGTAATGTCATTTTGACTCGTCAGGATGTTGATTTAAGATATCTTAAATAGAAAAGTTGAATAATTCAAGATATCTCTAATTCATTTAGAGATAATAATAGTAAAAGGAATTTTGACTAGTCAAAATTATAATTCTAGATATCTCTAATTTAGTTTTGTCTAGTCATTATTTGCTTTTAAGATATCTATAATTTAACTTCCACTAGTCAAAACTACATTTCTTCTATCCAAAAATACATTTAAGATATCTTGAATTATGGACTAATTAGAGATATCTTGAATTATAATTTTGACTAGTCATAATTTAATTGTAGATATCTGAAATGTGTATTTCACATAGTCAGTAATTCATTGTAGATATCTTGAATTGAAGTCCCCATACAAATCAATGGTAAATCTGACGTCATTTTGACTAGTCAGAATGTAATTGGAGATATCTTAAATTGCTAAAACGTCTAGTCATAAAACAATTTGAGATATCTGGAACGTAATTACGGATAGTCAGGCAAAACCGAATTTATGTTAAAACGGCTTGCCGTAAATGACCAGCTAAGCCAATCAGGTATTGGTCACGTATTGGTCACGTGATCTTCCTGAGGCAAACTCGAAGCCCGAATCAAATGTCAGAGATTGACGTCTTGATAATGTAATCACAAATCATGTTCTTTTGCAGATAATGTGGACAATACCAATCAAATATAAATTATATATAGATACCTATAGAGAAATAGATATCTATATCAACATATTTATATTTTTGTATAGATATAGGCTATATTTATAATTTACATATATTTCATTTATAATTTATATTTGATGGTTAAGAAAATAATTAATGACTAAATGATGGCGGAGCGGTTACAGGACTTTTACGTCAATCTATGACGTTTGATTCGGGCTTCGAGTTTGCCGCAGGAAGATCACGTGACCAATACGTCACCAATACCTGATTGGCTTAGCTGTTCATTGGTCACGTGACACTTCTCTGTCGCATTCAAACTCCGAATCTGACGTCATAGATTGACGTCAATGATCAGCAGAAGCAGAGCCTTTGAATGTTGGGCATCTGCGATCATTTGGTCACAAATCACTTCTCTTGCCTTGCAGTAAATGCTTGCAAACACAAAGCCCATTAGAGACTTAATGGGCTTTAAGATTGGTTGATCCTTTCTTCAGTTTACAAGCTATGCATGGTTCAAGAGAAATGTCGGGTCATGAAAGACTCGTTTGACCGCCGATGACAAGGCGGTCAGTGTCATGTGATTCTGGTCACATGACACATGGTGGGCTGGGAAATAAGCTTCCATACCTTTGTATGGAAGCTTATGGGAACCATAACTTATGCTACATATATATATAGAGATCTCTCTATATATATCTGTATATATATAGAGAGATCTCTCTCTCTATATATATATATACAGATATATTTAGATATATCTGTATATATATAGATCTATATATGTGTGTGTGTGTGTGTGTGTGTGTGTGTGTGTGTGTGTGTGTGTGTGTGTGTGTGTGTGTGTCGTGCTTTCTCTGTGAACGCCGATGTTTTCTTGGGGCTCTTTAGTCCAAAGACCAAAGCCATGAGCTCTGTAAGTTTTCTGACTTAAACAGTGACTGCGTAAAGGTGTGCATCAAAAGTTTCCAAAAAATTGTAATATTTCTCATCACTCATATCTGAAAGCGAACAGTAAAATTAGAATATTACATCTGATCCATAAGGACATTTCATGTCGTCTGTCCACAGAGCCACAGGCTGTCTGTGATCAGCCACTTTTTAAGAATAAGCGTCAGGTTTAGTGTCACTTTGATAGGTTGCGTTATATACGCGTTGGTATACTATATCATATTTTGGTTGCATTTCAACTGAACAGAGGAAATTCCTATAACATACAGCTGTAATAAATTTGAACTTAGACAGGTTAAAATACCTTCAGCTGTCCAGGAATTATTATTTATAACAAAAGCTGTTTTTTTTTATTTATTAATGAATAAAACAATCTCACCATATTCTCTTACAGGTATTACTGTACTGGAAAAACTCATGGCTGATGACTGGTTCAGGGTAACAAACTTTGCAAATCAGGATAAAGAACAGCTTTGTTAACGTCAAGTGGTCCTTTATGTGAAGGTCAACTTACAAGCTACAGGGCATTGTCAGAGAGTTGTGCATTTTCAAGACATTGCAACAATGTGTTCAGAGCTTTACAGAGTAGGTTGGTTTATTTCCTCAAACTTTAAATGTACCATTATTGCAATGTTTGTGCTAACAGTGCCAATAAATGCAGCATGTTCCTGACAATATTTCAAATGTAAATGAAACTCCAACACTGACATTTTTATTTATTTATATATATATATATATATATATATATATATATATATATATATATATATATATATATATATATATATATATATATATATATATATATATATATATATATATATATATACGTAGATATATGTCCATTAAGTCTCTGATGGACTTTGTGTTTACACTGACATTAACACAACCAAAGAAAATCTCTTTACACATAATGATAGCTTGTTGGCCTGTAGCACCTTTTTGAGGCTTTAAAGAAACAATTCTGCAACAAGCAGAAAAAATAAAGTAAATAAAGTTGCTCAGGGCAGCAACACAAATTCAGACAAATTTAAAAGCAAACAAAAGACAACAGGCTTTTACAGCAGTTTAAAACATTTTGGACTTTATGAAGCTCTATAAGAACACAACTTTTAGCTCCATGCTGATGAAATGTTATTTTCTTTGGAGTGGGGGGATAACTTCAGAAATGTGTGTCATTAAAGGTCCAAATATATATATATCTATATCGATATATCTATCTAGATATATCGATATATCTAGATAGCTCTATATATATATATAGATCTATATCTCTATATATATGTACCATAAGTTATAGTTCCCATAAGCTTCCATACAAAGGTATGGAAGCTTATTTCCCAGCCCACCATGTGTCATGTGACCAGAATCACATGACACTGACCGCCTTGTCATCGGCGGTCAAACGAGTCTTTACATGATCACATTCATCTCTTTGAAAACATGCATAGCTTGTAAACTGAAGAAAGGCTCAACCAATCTTAAAGCCCATTAAGTCTCTAATGGGCTTTGTGTTTGCAAGCATTTACTGCAAGGCAAGAGAAGTGATTTGTGACCAAATGATCGCAGATGCCCAACATTCAAAGGCTCTGCTTCTGCTGATCGTTGACGTCAATCTATGACGTCAGATTCGGAGTTTGAATGCGACAGAGAAGTGTCACGTGACCAATGAGCTATGGCAAGCCGTTTTAACATAAATTCGGTTTCGTCTGACTATCTATGGTGCCATAGACGGGCCGTATGTACTGCTTCCGGGTGAGTGGGTTTGGGTCAGAGAGCCAGCAGGTAACATCTCCCAGCGTTCACAGTGCCCGTCAGCTGTGGGGCAGTGTTTAATAGTGGTAGCTTAGCTCTTTTTGGCTGTCCATATTTTAGACGTACTGTTATATATAGTGAGTGTGGCACTCTCACCTGTGCCACACTCACTGGGTGGTGGACGTATTTATTTTCCATTTCAGTAAAAAGACGCGATCTTGCTGTGCATAGGTAGCTCAGCTAGCTGAGGTCCAACAGAAAACGTTTTCAAGTTAGCGTTAAACAAGTGTGTTATATACCAGTGTCTGGACTGTATTGTCATTTGGAGAATTTCGTTTCTCGATTTTTGATCCGCTGGGATTATTTGCAGCCGACGTTTTCTGTGCAGAATTTAGTTAGCCTTCATTGGCATAGTGGATGGGCTGCTAGCCTCCGTGGAGCTAAAGAAGCTAACAGTTAATCAGTTTTTAAGAGGTTGATGTTCATCATGGAACAGAGAGACTGGAGACGTTTGAGAGTAAAGCCAGAGCTACTGACTTGAGGCATCATCGGACTCAGCTCAGCATCGCTTCAGCCCTGCCATGGTTCACCTGTTCTGCTGGTGTCCTCTGTCAGATCAGATGCTGCGTCAGTTTGATGATTCCTGGCTGAAACCTTGATCTGCCAGGACACGTGAAGGTTGCAAACAAGGATCGTGAAGCCTAAGACGAGTGAGGATGTCTGAAATGATGAAGGCTGAAGCAGATGAACCCGGAGTGTTCGGCTCGGAGCCCCTCATGGCTGCAGCATCCACAGCAGAACTGGAGCAGAAACAAGACAACAAAGATCTCAGTGAGTGACAGTTGCTGCAGGGCTGTGAAGAGTTTTACATACGAAAATACAAAAAAGTCAATAATAATACACATCTTTTTTTCTTTTGGGAGAACCTATTATTTACTCTTTCATCAATACCCTCTAACCTTTAAAAGACTGTGACTGTCCCTTTGACAGGCACAGCTGTGTGTAAATAGGAGTCAACTGAGTGGAAGGAGACTCCAAATCAAGTGGAAAATACTTTTTCTTCATTATGTTTATGTTTAGTTATGTTTAGTTTGTGTCCCCTCTGCCGTTTACTACTCATATACAGTAATTAAGTCAGTAATTACGATTAATTGAAAACATCAGAACTGTTTCCCAGTTTGGAATGATTGACCAAGCCTCATATTACCGTATCTGATATGTTTACACAAAGTAACCTGGTTTATATTTGTAGCTCATCACGGTTCTGAGGATAACATAAATTTAAATTAAATAACAATAAGTTTACAGCTTTCTGAATATTCCCCAGAAAACAGCAGATAGACCAAATTATTGGGCCATGGCTGTTTTGCTAATGGCGAACGGAGGGGTTCTAATTGTTTTTTAGTAGCATTGTCTCCTTTTTTGTCTTCTTTGAGGTAGTTCAGACGTATCTCTGGAAGAGAGCAATGGGCCCTACTCTTTCCTAGTGAACCAAAATGGCTAGAATCAGCTCTTTGCGACACCTTCAAAATATGATGCAAACACCAACTGTTGAATATCATCTGAGCAATTTGTATGATTTTTCCATGTAAAAATAGACTATGGCTATTATCAATTTATGTAAAGGAATAGATGTTTTAAAAATGGTTCACAAGCATTTAATATCCATTCATGTTTTGATGTTTCCAGTCCATCAGATGTTTGTGATTAAAGTGGTTCCCCATGACTGGAGACTCAGGTTGAACCAGCAGGATCCAGATGACTCTCACATAAAGAAGGAGGAAGAGGAGCTGTGGATCAGTCACGAGGAAGAGCAGCTTACCGCCAAGATTGAAGATGAACAGAAACCAGAACATTATGAGATCAAAGCAGATGACTTGAGAGAGGCAGAATCTCCAACCAGCAGCTCAGATGAGAAGACGGAAACGGAGCCTCATGAAGAGGACAGTGGAGGATTAGAACTGGAGAGGAACCAGGATCCAGCATGCTCTTCTCTGCAAACTACGACAACTTCTCACAAAAGAGTTAGGACATCTAAGTCGCCCGCAAATGGAGTTCAAACCGAAGAGAAGCCATTTTGCTGCCACGTTTGTGGAAAAACTTTCAAGCGCAACGCTCATGTTAAATTACACATGATGACTCACACTGCAGAGAGAGAACATACCTGTGATCTTTGCGGCAAAGGATTTAAAGAAAAGAGTTTTGTTCAGACGCACATGAGAATACATACGGGAGAGAAACCGTTTTCCTGTGATGTTTGTGGTAAGGGGTTTCATGCAAAAACATATCTGAAAACTCACATGAAGGTCCATTCAGCAGACAAACCTTTTTCATGTGATATTTGTGGTACAAGATTTAAAAGAAAGGAAAATATAAAGAAGCACATGAGGATCCACACTGCAGAGAGACCGTTTGTTTGTAGGGTTTGCAATAAAGACTTTTCACTGCAAAACACGTTGAACAGACACATGCGTGTTCACACAGGAGAGAAGCTGTTTATTTGTGATGTGTGTAGCAAAGGATTTTCATTAAAACATAATCTGAAAAGCCACATGGAAGTTCACACGGCACCATTCAGCTGCAGTGATTGCAGTAAACGTTTTGTAAAAGAAATCCAGTTGGAGCGACATGTGAGAGTCCACTCAGAGGAGAGGCCGTATGGTTGTAACGTCTGTAAAAGTAGATTTTATCAAAGGTGTCAACTTGAAAATCACAAGAGAGTGCATTCAGGAGAGAAGCCGTTTGTGTGCACGGTTTGCAGTAAAGGATTTTCACAGCTTGGAGATATGAGGAGGCACATGGGACTTCATAAAGACTCTTAACTAAACATAGTTGTGAGCCATACTGTCAGTATTTTATATTAATAATTTATGTCTACCTGATCTCCACATTATCGCCTTTAATTAAAATAGTTGAAAAATAAAAAACTTTATCATTTGTAATTTTCTTTATTTTTTAACTAATCAGTTTTAGTTAAAAGTTCAAAATGCTACAGCAAAGTGATTTTTTTAACTGGTAATTTCAAAATTAACAAAGCTAAAAAGCATAATAAACCCAGTTGTGCTTTCACCAAGGCTTTTTCTCAATAGCTCAATCTTCAGTCATTGATTATGTAGCGTTTGGCTTCTTCTGATGCAGAATTATAATGCATGTCACCAATGTAAAAGTCAAAATGTGACATGACCATGTGGAAGTGGCGCAAATCACATTTTTTGGGGGGCTGAAAATATTGGAATCGGACCATTCAGCATGCTGTGGAAAAGTCTGATCTGGGTCGCATATTGGCAAAACAAGAAATTGTATTTGGATCGCATTTGTCTGCTGTGTGTACATAGACTTAAGATATTCAGCCTATCGACTCCGTCCAACATTCAGAGTATGAAGTTGATGTTTGCACCTGACACAGATGAGTGTCCATGTCTTTGTAGGCGATAAAGAGACGGACAGTTAAAGGAATCGTAGTGTTTGTGTTCCTCCTTTAGTGACAACAATCATTAGGTTGACCAAACATTTATTAGAGTCAGTATAAATGTCCGGGTTTGTTTTACTTCTCACGTCTGTTTTGATGCTGTTTTTTGCATATGACAAAAAAATCCCCAATCTCTAATTCATTCTGTGTATTGTTTATTGATAAAAACATTTACAAAATAAAATGTACTTATTGCATTTATTTATTCAAGCATTGAGAGGATGTATGTTTCACTTACCAATTAATTTGTCCTCATCAACCAGGAGGTGATATATATATATATAAACCTAACCTAATGAAGGTTAGGTTATGTTAATCCTTTCATTATTTATTGTTTGGTTCCAGCATTTATTCACTTCAGCTGCATTTTCTCCCAGCATTTCTCATATATAGTGCCTTAAGATAAGGCTTTTTGGGATTTCGGTAGTGTATAAATAAGCCCAATTCAATTATTTGTTTTGTAGAATGAAACAACCAACCAGCCGTCCTCACCATAGCAAACGGAAAGCTGGGTAGAAAGCTATTCATTTTCTCATAAATTGTTTTATTTTGAAAAGCTGATTGCTTATAACGGAAGAGGTTTTCCATTTTAAAACGTAACCGGATGTTGTCATGTTAGCCTAAGTTGCTAAGACCTGACAGTAAAACGCCTTAACGCTTGTGTGTAGTTAATATGTCAGTCTTTTCTCGACAGGCTCAGAGAATATTTCTCTTACGTATCTGTTGGGTCGCTGCGATTATATCCAGCAGTAGCTCACAGTTCGGAACGTAATTAGCTTCCATTAGAAGAATGAATGGATTACTATGTGGAGCTAAAGTAGTTGATAGCAGAGACTTAACCAGTGTTTTAATGATGAAGTATTTAAAGCTGATGTTTTAAAACCGCAAAAGGGACAGTGGACTCAGAGCTACTGACCAAGGTATCAGACTCGCTTACCTTGTTTTGTAAGCTCTTCTACGGCTTACAATCAACGTTACACTTTATTTGACCGGTAGCTGATTCGGGTCTTATTGAGGTTTCATGGAAATGTAAAAACACAACATGAAGGCCAGATGGCTGAAACCTTGACATGCTTAAAAATGAAGGTTACTGACAAAAGATTGTAAAAAAGGAGAAGTCAAGTGCAGTGAGGATGACCGAGATGATGAAGATTGAAGCAGAGGAACCAGGAGGGTTCAGCTTGGAGGCCCCCATACCTGCAGCATCCACATCACAACTGGAGGAGGAAACACTAAACAACAAAGATCTCAGTAAGTGACTCACATTTGGTTGTCTGGATTGAAGCTGATTATATCTGACTGGAAGTTGTGAAAAGGACTGTTGGAAGCGTCAGTGTGAAAAGTAAATGCAAGCCATCTGACTGTCTTGCCTTGGTTTAAACAAGATGGGTCCCCTTAACTCATTGCATTCTGTAACCAATAATAATAATTTTAAAAAAAATTTGATTCTTTTTCTGAAAGGAAGTGACACATGCATTTTGTTACGCTAATTATCAATTTAAACGTAACAATTTGGAAGGACAATTTGCCATTTTATCAATCAGAAGCTATCAGTGATGATTCTGTGTGTTATAATGTTCTCAGTCCACCAGATGTTGGTGATTAAAGTGGTTCCTCAGGACTGGAGCCCCAGTTTGGATCATCAGGATCCAGAAACCTTCCACATAAAGGAGGAAGACGAAGAACTGTGGATCAGTCAGGAGGAGGAGCAGCATGCTGTGAAGACTGAAAGTGAAGAGAAAGTTGAGCTGCCTCAAATCAAAACTGAAGAGATCAGAGAGACAGAAACTTTAAGCAGCACCTTGACTGAACAGAGGAAAACAGAACCAGGTGGAGAGGGCCGTGGAGGATTAGAACCAGACTGGAGCCGAGATTCAGTAGGTTATTTCCAAAAAAATAAGGTGACGGTTGAAGGTAGATGTATGGCAGCCAAACTGTCTTCCAGTGTTCCTCCTAGGCAAAAGGTGCACACAGGAGAGAAGCCATTTGGTTGCAGTATTTGTGGAAAAAGATTCAAACTGAAGACAAATGTTAAGTTACACCTGATGATTCACACTGGAATGAGAGAGCATAGGTGTGATCTTTGTGGGAAGGGATTTAAAGAAAAACTTTCTCTTAAGACTCATATGCGAGTCCACACCGGAGAGACTCCATTTTCCTGTCAAGATTGTGGGAGGAGATTCCACGCCAAAAGAAATCTGAACATTCACTTGAAGCTCCATTCTGGAGGAAAAGCGTTTTGTTGTGATGTCTGTGGTGCAAGATTTAAGGTAAAGGAAAGTCTTAAAAAGCACATGTGGATCCACACTGAAGAGAGACCTTTTGTATGTAGTGTTTGCAATAAAAGTTTTTCACAACAAAATATTCTAAAGAGACACATGCTTATTCACACAGGACAGAAACACTATATTTGTAGTGTTTGTAGTAAAGGATTTTTGCGACAAGGGGATCTAAAGAGTCATATGCGTGTTCATACGGGAGACAAACCATTTACTTGTAGTGTTTGTAATAAAGGATTTTCACAACAAGTGTATTTGAGAAGGCATCTGGACAGTCACAATGCACAATTTAGCTGTGGAAATTGTGGCAAGTGTTTTGTGAAGGAAACCCAGTTAAAGCGACATGCGAGGCTGCACACAGAGGAGAGGCCATTTGGTTGTGGTGTCTGTAAAAGCAGGTTTATTCAAAGGAATCATCTTGAAAACCACATGAGAGTCCATTCAGGAGAGAAACAGTTTGTTTGTCATGTCTGCAACAAAGGATTTTCCTTGCACGGAGACCTGAAGAGACACTCGCGCGTTCACACGGGAGAGAAACCGTTTGTTTGTAGTGTTTGCAGTCAGAGATTTTCACGACCAGCATATCTGAGAAAACACATGGATATTCACACTTTACCTTTTAAAAGCTTTAGTGGTTGTAGTTAACTTTTCATGAAGGAATTCGAGATGAAGATTCAAGACAGAGAAACCTTTTGGTTGTGATGTTTGTAAAAGCAGATTTAGTATAAATAAGTATTCTCATCATCCGTATTTAACAGTTTGTCAAGGAGATGAGGCACTTATTTACCTTATTTTGCTCTAAATGTTTATATATATATATATATATATATATATATATATATATATATATATATATATATATATATATATATAGGGGTGGAATTACATTTTGATGTCAATAATAAAAACGTGGGCACAGCTTCTGTTACCAGTGCTGTGAAATGTTTCACTGCTTCTTCAGTTTGCACATCTAAGAAGTATGATCATGTTTAGTGTGGCCAAGGTTTAGCCATCACTATTGGGAGTTTTCTCAACATGGGATGCAAAACTGTGCTGTAGTTTCTTCACTTTTCTCTGTTTATTGTATTTGTTGTCACCTCAGGACTAAGCCTTTTTCACCCGGAAAGAGTGATGAGAAATCCACTATTACAGGTCTGGGTAAAGGAGAGAAAACCACTAAAGTGATCATTTAGTTTAGTTTAAACTATCAAAACAAAGTGACAAGTTTCTGAGAATGTTTTGTCTTCTATTTAACTAGAACTGAAGTGACATGTTAGTAGATTAATTATCACATGTCATTGAAATGGAGACTAAACAGTCTTGCCCTTAATCAAGAAAAGTGTGTAATACAAAGGTTTTTGTAACGTTGTTTAAGTCAGATTTATACTTAGAAGCAATGGATAAAGCATTTTAGGTGATTTATTCTCAGAAATAATAGATTTGCAAAAAGAGTCAAACCAAGTAAGAGCAGCATATTAAGACAGATTCAGAAGAACTGTAGTTCTGACAAATATTAGTTTCTTTTTGGTTTAATATTGTTAAGAAGAGCTGTGTTCTTGTTCTTTATTATTGCAGCAGATTTGTTAAAGTCTATTTAAGATACAAATGAAGTTGACCCTAATGTATTGGTTCTGACCATTGTGCAGAACAAATGAGCAAAAATGCAGGATTCCACTAAGAGACTCTGAATTAATTACAGCCCATCACTTTGCTTTACATTATAGCGACATTGTAAAGCCTGGAAGTCTGCCAGGCTTTACATGCCTCCCGGTGGATTTTGTAAGCAATCTCTCTCTGTTGTGACTGACACCTTTATACTGTGGTTTATACTCTGTTGTCAAAACTATGTTAAGCAATGTACATTGGAAAGCTGGTGGAGTTTTATGCCTGACATTCTATTTAAATAAATAATTCAAAAAAAGATAAATCACATTCTTTAATTGACACAAGTGAAAAACGCATTTGTTTGTAATGTTTGCAGGAGAGCCTTTTCACAACAAAGAGACCTGAAGAGACACGTGTGTGTTCATTGGTGCGTCTAGACTTAGTTTTTGCACTAAGGGATTTTCACTGCAACAGAATCTAAAGTCACATGCATCTTCACACAGGAGAAAAACCATTTGTTTGTAGTGTTTGTAGTAAAGGATTTTCACAACAACTTAATCTGAAAAACCACATGGAGGTTCACAAAGCACCATTCACCTGTAGAGATTGCTATAAATGTTTTGTCAAGGAAATTCAGTTACAGCGACATGTGAGACACCACACAGAGGAGAGGCCATTTGCTTGTGATCTCTGTAAAAGCAGGTTTACCCATAAGTGCAACCTGGAAAGTTACATGTGAGTCCATTCAGGAGAGAAACCTTTTGTTTGTGTTGAGTGCAGGAAAGCATTTTCACAACAAGGCGATCTGAAGAGACACACGTGTGTTCATCGGTGCATCTAGTCTTCGAATTGGGCAGTGATAAAAGCTGCTGTCTCACAATAAGTACAACGTAGGTTTGAATCCTGGGTGTTTCTGCGTGGTGTGGAGGTGGCATGTTCTCTCAACACATCCATGGTTCTCTGTGAACTCTGACTTCCTTCAACAGTCCCAAAATGAATATGTTAACTGCTATTAATCAAAGTCAATGAGGTTTATTTGTATAGCACAGTTCAGCAACAAGACAGTTCAAGGTACCTGCATCATAAAAACACAAAAATACATAGTCATAGAACACTATGAACGATTGAAGAATTACATTTTGTAAAGTGCCATTGTTACACATCAGAATATTTATTAATCTTTCATTTATAATGTTTTAAAGCAACTCCATACTAGGTGGGTTTTTAGTATAGATTTAAAGAACAGTGTTGGAATGTTTACAGTAGTTTGTTTTGTCTGTTTGTGATGAACCTGGTGACCTTTCTCCTAATCCTCTCTGCTTTCTGTAGGATTAATGTCGTAATTTGCTTGTCCATATGAATTCCGAGTAAATTAAAATAACAAATTTATAAAAACATTAATTTGAAAATAAACTATTTTTTTCTGTTCTTTGAACAGCTCAAATCAGACATATTTAATACAACTTGTGACTTCTTATTTTTTCTAATAAATACATAATGGGATTTGGCAGCATGAAAGCTGCCATTTTGTTATTTTCCATTTATCAATTTTGAGATTTTGAGACTGTGTTGATTTAATGATTTGGATGTTTATATTTGATTCTATTGAGATCTGTTTTTTCCCAGCATGTCAACGTGCTTGTACCACTTTCTCCTTGTCACTTTAGCTTCAATCTTACAAACAGCAAGAATTAAAAAAAGAACATTTAGTTTCTTTTCCTCCAAACAACCTGTTATGACCCATGTCACCTCGACCAAAGGGCTGGATTAAATAACTGATGTTTGAATTGTGCTGTTTTATATATGGTTGAAAAGATGTATAACATATTACAAAATACACATATTTAAATTACTCGTGTGTATGCGCAAACTTGGCCAGTGAAGCACATGCTAATATTACTATTGAAAACAAACAATACTGATTACGGGAAATAGTTTTGTCGCATCAGGACTTTAGTGATCATTGATTGGCCAACGAAGAGGAAGTAACCGGATGTTAGCTTGGCTAGCTTAGCCCTAACAGAAAACCGTTTTAAAGGTTGTTTAAAATGAGTGTGTGACTGGTGTTTTCGATTAGTCTGCTGATATTTTTCATGGAAACGTCGCCGTTGTGCATTTCTTCTTCAGTGGGTGAGGTTACCTCCAGCGGAGGTTTTCTGCACGGAATGGAATTAGCTTTTATTAGCAACCGTTAATTTGACTGTTAGGCTCCGTGGAGACAAGGCAGAGTCTTAATCAGTGCGTCTGAGGTTGAAGCGTTTTAAAGTTCGTGGCTATTGCCACAGGACAAATCCACACTCTTAAGTTTTGGGAGGCTGCGAGTGGAACACCAGATCATGTGTGGACACTTCCGGACCGAGTGGACCCAGAACATCTTTCCCAGGTATCCGCCTCTCCGCTCTGCTGCGTCGCTTCAGCTGTGCCACTGTTTACATATTTTGTTAATGCGCCCTTATTTCATCAGATGCTGATTTGTCTCTATGCAGCAGAGAAACAGCAGAATATCCAGGTTATATGACTGAAACCTTGATCTTCTAGAACGAGAAGGTTTGAAGACAAGAATCGTGAAGGCCGAGCAAGAATGTCTGCATTGGTGAAAGTTGAAGCGGACAAACCCAGAGAGCTCAGTTTGGAGGCTCCAAGACCTGTAGCGTCCAATTCAGACCAGACTAAGATGGGTAATTACTAGAGCTGTGTGATATGAACACAAAGAAAGTTGCTGCCCTGCCAATTGTGACAGAAGCTGTGTATTATGAGATTTTTGATGTCAGTGTCTGCAGTGACAGTTTTGCAGGTTTTGCACAGACTTTCCTAAGATAGATGATTAATGTTCATGTATTTTTCAATATTCCCAGGGCATAAGATGTTGGTGTTTAAAGTGGCTCCCCATGACGAGAGCCCTGGTTTGGACCAGCAGGACTCAGAAACCCCCCACATAAAGGAGGAAGATGAGGAAGTGTGGATCAGTCAGGAGGAAGAGCAGCTTATTGCAAATGGTAAAGATGAAAAGAAAAGTCAGTTATCAGACTCTCATCAGATCAAAACTGAAGACCACAGAGATACCAAAAGTTCAACCAGCAGCTCAGCTGAACAGATGGAAACAGAAGCAGAAGAAAAGGACTGTGGCGGACCAGAACCAGACGGGATTACAAGTCCAATATGTTATTTTCGACCAACTGAGGTGACAGGAAAGGAGAAAAGAAAAACACCTGATCTGCGTTCCAAATTCATGGCTCCTACCAGAGGAAGCCCATTTCATTGCAATTTTTGTGGTAAAAGATTCAAACGTAAGACTAATGTTAAATTACACATGATGATCCACACAGGCAATAGAGAGCATAGTTGTGATGTCTGTGGGAAAGGATTTAAAGAAAAACATTATCTTCAGACACACATTAGACTCCACACTGGAGAGAAACCTTTTGCCTGTGACCGGTGTGATAAAAGGTTTCATGCAAAGACAAGTCTTAAAACTCACCTGAAGGTTCATTCAGGGGAAAAACCTTTTCCATGTGACATTTGTGGGACAAGATTTAAAATGAAGGGAACTCTTAAAAACCACATGATGATTCACACCACAGAGAAACCATTTGTGTGTACTGTGTGCAGTAAAGGATTTTCACTTCAAGTTCACTTAAAGAGTCACATGTGTGTCCACACGGGAGAGAAGCTGTTCATTTGTAATGTTTGTACCAAAGGATTTTCACAACAAATTCATCTTAAGATTCACATGCGCATTCACACCGGAGAGAAGCCGTTTACTTGTAGTGTTTGTTCCAAAGGATTTTCACAAAAAGAGACCTTAAAGAGACACATGTGCGTTCACACGGGAGAAAAAGCATTTATTTGTAGTGTTTGCAGTAAGGGATTTTCACAAAAAGAGACACTAAAGAGACACATGTGTGTTCACACTGGTGAGAAGCCATTCATTTGTGATCTTTGTTCTAAGGGATTTTCGCAACAAATTCATCTGAAAAGTCACATGCGTGTTCACACAGGAGAGAAACCATTTGTTTGTAGAGTTTGTGCTAAAGCATTTTCAAAACAAGAGTCTCTAAAGAGACATGTGTGCTCACACAGAAGATAAACTTTGTGGTAAAGGAACAAGTTTCCTCTGTCCTCTGACAAATTTCTTTAAAGGGACAGTGAAAATAGTTGCTCTAATAGGAAGAGCTCTCAAGTTGCATTTAAGAAGGAAGCCAGAAGTGGGGCAGTGTTTGTAAAGCCAACATTAAGCAGCCGTCTTCTCAATTGATGCCCACATGGTCTTACAGAAAGTAATCATCTAATTTATTTAAGCTTCAATTGTGAAGCTGAACTGTCAAAGTGGACGGTTTTGCAAATCAATTCAAATGACCTCAGAGGCCATGGAAACGACCAAAACATCCGGTATACATGCTTGGTGGGGTTTTATGCTCAAAGGTATTTATTTGAATGCTTGACATGACATGTAAAAGCTAAGTTTTCATGGACCTGATGAGAAATGTTGTGATATGTGATAATCTTATTTTTGCTCATTTACAAATCCACATATTTGGCGGACAGAGTATATGACAGAATCTAAAATTTAAGATAATGTTTAGTTGTGCATTGTTTTACTTATTGTTATTTGTATGTATTATTTATGTGTTTGGCTTGACTCCCAATAATTGTAACGCTGTAAAGTTTGTAGAGTATGTTGTTATGCTAAATGCTTTCACTCTCTCAAACTTGACTGGTCTTTTTAAAAGGATACAAGAACTGTCCATTGCAAATAGAAAATACATTTTTAAATGTGCCAATTACTAATTTATTCACATTTGTTTATCAGGAAAATACTTCACACTCCTCCACTTATGTTTTTTATTTATTGTTGTCTTGGAGAGGAGATAATTCATTAAATAATTTAATCCCACAACTGACAATGCAGTAACATTGAACACTTTCAAACTGAAGCTTGTACTCATCTATGACAATGCTTGAAAAGACGCAAATGAGGAAATAGGATGAGAATAACGGGACAAAATCTACATTTATTTGTTGTCCTGAGCTGTAATTATATACTCTAAAAGTTCAAAATAGTAATCATCGTGATTATGGAAGTAAATACTTAGTAATACTTCGTTTGTAAAATGGTATTATTATGTGTAGTCAGGTTCTTTTACTCTGAAAAACTAACGGATGAAAGTGGAAATTGTTTTCCAAAATAGGTGTTTTACTTGTCACTGATTGGCCAGGGAGGAGGACGTAACCGGATGTGGCGATGCTAGCTGAATTAGCTAAATCTCAAAAGAAAAGCATTTTAGATTATGCGTGAAAAGAAAGTCTAGTTGATGTCACACAGTCTAGTTTACAGTCCTCTTGTAAATCTTGCTTCTTTGTGTTTGTTTAGAGCTACTGTGAGTTTTTCTTGCCGAACTTTCCTGTACATAATATAAATAGCCTTCCTTAGCAAAGTGAATGGCCCGTTAGCCACCACAGGGCTAAACCAGCTAACAGCAGGGACTGAATCGACGTCAGACTTCGAAGTTTTACAATGTTTAACGCTACAACAATAGTCCATACTGTTGGGTTTGTGAGACTGTGCGTGGAGGACCACGTCGTCCGTGGACAGTTCCTCAAACCTTATGGGCCAGGTGAGGACCGAGAGACTGGAGCAGAGTGAACCCAGACCTACTGACCAAGGTATCAGACTCTGCTCTGCAGCATCAGTTCAGATGATTACATTTTCTGTTCACACACTTTATTTGATCAGAGGCTGATTTGTGTCTGGTTCCACTTTCAGGCAGCAGAAAGACAGAATTTACTGGTTATAAGACTTAAATCTTGACCTACTAGAACATGTGAAGGGTGAAGACAAAAAACCACAGGTGGTGCGAGGATGAATGAGATGATGAAGGTTGAAACGCATGAACCTGGAGGGTTCAGGTTGGAGACCCTCCTGCCTGCAGTATCCATATCAGAACTGGAAGAGGAAACACAAGACAGCAAAGATCTCAGTAAGTCACACACACTGTCTGAATTGGAGAAAATTAGCAACCAGAAGTTGTAAAAAGTGTAGATAAACTGTGGAGACAATCAAAGTGATACATATATGAAAGTATCACTGCTGTCATTGCAACTGAGGCCGAATTCACCTTGAATAGTTAAGCTGTTCATCAGAGGGCCCCTCATATGTCCAACTGCTGAAGTTTCTTCTAATCAGGCCAGCTCCAATACAAAGATTTTGGCTTCATTTTTGCTGTTCAGTTAAAAAAGCAGGTGGCTGGAATGTTGAGCAGACCACAGGGGACAAGAAATACAGTGCCATATTATTACTGTAATACCCACAAGTTTCATCTTTCGGAAACTGTTGGGATTTTGTAGATTGCACAAACTTTTGCAGGCTTATGATAATAAAATATTGGTTTGTCCAAATGTGTCATGAGCGAAAGATTCAACTCGAACAGTTTATATATATATATATTTTTTTTTTGTAGATTGGTAACAAGAGAAAATCTGGAGACTTGGATATGTAAATAATAGCATTTTCCTTATTATGAGTATTCAACAATGCCTCCTTGCATTTTCTTGTCCCCAGTTCATCAGATTTTGGTGATTAAAAAGTTTCCCCAAACCTGGAGCTCCAATTTGGACAAGCAGAACCCGGAGCGCCCTCTTATAAAGAAGGAGGAGGAGGAACTGTGGATAAGTCAGGAGGAAGAGCAGCTTACTGTGAAAACTGAAGATGAAGAGAAACCTCAGTTGTCAGAGCTTCATCAGATTAAAACTGAAGACAATGGAAATACAGAGGCTTCAAGCAGCAGCTTAGTTAAACAGATGGAAACAGAATTAGAAGAAGATGAATGTAAGACTCCAGAACCAAACAGGGGCCCAGATCCAGCATGTTTCTCTCAACAAAGTAAGATTGCTCAGTTTGGAGTCCAAACAGAACACAAACATTTCAGCTGCAATATTTGTGGCAAAAGTTTAAAAAATTACACGACTTTCAAAATGCACATGATGACTCACACTGGAATGAGGGAACATAGCTGTGATTTTTGTGGTAAAGGATTTGAAGAAAAGCGTGCTCTTCAGACGCATATGAGACTCCACACTGGAGAGAGACCATTTGCTTGTGAAGACTGTGGTAAAACGTTTTATGCAAAAGCTATTCTCAAAATGCACCAAAGAGTCCATTCAGGAGAAAAACCTTTTTCTTGCTATGTCTGTGGTACAAGATTTAAAACAAAAGGAACTCTAACAAGGCACGTGAGGATCCACACCACAGAGAAACCATTTGTATGCCATGTTTGTAGTAAAGCATTTTCCCTACAGCATCATCTAAAGAGGCACATGAGTGTTCACACAGGAGAGAAACAATTCATTTGTGGTGTTTGCAGTGAGGGATTTTCACAACAAACTCAATTAAAGAGACACATGCGTGTTCACGCACAAGAGAAGTCATTTACTTGTAGTGTTTGCAGTAAAAGATTTTTTAAACAAGAGACTCTGGCGAGACACATGCGTGTCCACACAGGAGAAGACCCATTTATATGTAATGTTTGCAATAAGGGATTTTCAAAACAAGAGACTCTCAATGGGCACGTGCTTGTTCACACGGGAGAGAAAATGTTTATTTGTAGTGTGTGTGATAAAGGATTCACACGACAACAGAGTCTGAAAAACCACATGGAGGTTCACACCGCACTATTTAGCTGTGGCGATTGTAGCAAGCGTTTTGTGAAGGAAACACAGTTAATGCGGCATGTCAAACTCCACAAGATGGAGAGGCCGTTTAGTTGTGAAGTCTGTAGGATCAGATTTAATAAAAGGCTCCATCTTGAAAATCACATGAGAGTCCATTCGGGAGAGAAGCCTTTTGTTTGTAGTGTTTGCAGTAAAGCGTTTTCACGACAAGGAAATTTGACGAGACACATGGCCGTTCATGAAGGCTGCAAGTCTTGATATTGTCAGTTGGTTTCTAAAACCTTTTTTCAATTATTAGAATTTTGTTTGTGATTTTCTGTGGAGCTGGATTAGCTTTTTATTCTGAATACAGAATGAACACCAGAATAGCAGTGCTTCCACATTTACAGTTTTCAGCTTAATAATTAACTTAAAAATTGTAATGATTATTATTATTATTATTTAATAATTAATGTATCATTTTAAACTTTAAAAAATAGTTGGAAAACATGTATTTAAAAATATTTCTTTGTCTTTTTGGGGATGGTTCAATATTTAAAAATACTGTAGTCCTCATAAATAGTGAGCCGATAATATTAACTGATGACGCTACATTATTATATTAATGTACTGAAAGTCTTATGAAATATTTTATTCTTCAATCTCAAATCTATCAAATTATATCCAAATGTAAATATCATACTTAATAGAGAAAGTTTCATACATTACACAAAATAATGAGATGAAAATACAGCAGTGACAAAAAGTGTTTGCCCCATTACCATTTGTATGTTTGTCACATGTGTTTTAGACCAGATACATTTGAATAATGGACAAACTTATCTTATTTAGTCACAAAATGTTGTGTTTTAATGAAGGTGTTTGTTGTAAAAGGGAAAAAATCCAAACCTGAGTCACAAGTTTGGAAAGATTAGTTCCATTTCTTTAGCCACACCTTCAATAGGACCTGCCTGACAAAGCGAAGCAGATCTCAAAAGATCCTCAAAAGCCAGGAAAAGGAATATCATGCCAGAAATAAACTACGGTTTTGAAAATGTAACGGTTTGGAGCTATTTTGCTGCTTCCGGACCTGAAGGACTTGCTGTGATAAATTGAACCACAATTCTGTTGTCCACCAAGACATCCTGAAGGGGAATGTCCGGCCATCTGTGACCTCAAACCAAAGAGCATTTGAATTCTGCAGTAGAACAAAAATCCAAAGCACACCAGCAAGTCCCCCTCCGAAAAAGCAAAATTAAAATTAAAATGAATGTGTTGGTATTAAGAGTTTATTGCAAAATTTGGATTTGTAAAATCCCGAAATGCCTTTGAAAGGAAAAGTTCAGACAAAGAATAAACTCCAACTTGGCACTTTTCATCCTCAAACCTTGCTCACCTTGAACCACCAAGAACTGAGCTTAGATTCTGATTTTATTATGACTGTTGGCTGAATCTGCTCGGCCCCACTAGTGACCATACCACATCACGGTGCTTAAATACGAATGGTCTTTATGGCTTACACAGCTCTTCTTTCTTTTACAAGATTCCATATAATATTTTTATTCTAATATATTTGGGACACACCAATTTGGTGAAAGTATTAACTGTAAAAAAATAAAAATGTCTCAAGTTTGTTTCTTTGATTAAAAGAATTATGAGAAATGTTGACTGAATTTTTGTCAGTTTGATACACGGTTACAAAACCTTTGTAAATAGGAATAATCAATTTGTTAAATAAACATTAAACTGTCTTTGTGCACAGTCAATCTGTGATTATGTCTTTTCCTCTCCCTGCAGCTCTTCTGTTTTAACATCTTCTGGTTACGTCAGTTGAACAAACCATGAGATTTATTTTAAGGTTTGGTGCTCTTGCTTTTTTCTTTTTCCTTCTCTCTTGTCGGGTAGTGTTGGGGCTGGTGCCTATCTTTAGCAGTCATAGCGTAAGAGGTGGGGTACATCCTGGTCACCAGTCCCTTAAATTAAATCACAAAGTCAAATGTCCTTTAACAATGATTTCACCAGTGTTGCACTGAGAAGTAGCTTGTATAATAAGCTCAGCAGATGCCCAGCTCCCCCAGGTGTTTGCTAATGTTCGCTAATTGCTGCTGGCTAGTTTGAAGGGGCTGGGTGGGGGAGCAGCAGAGGGAAGGGTGCTCTGTGAGATGGACCCTCCAAACAGGAACTACTAGAGCCATCCAGGCGTTTTGCATGGCTAAATTGTTGTCATAGGAGATTAAAGGATTGATCAAACATGCATAAAAGAATCAAGTCAACATCCCAGGTGTGTTTTTAATAAATGAGTAATATAATATGCAAAGCTTTGAAAAAGTTTATTTTTACACAATATCGCACCTTTTATTGTGAAAAGCTGAAGGTTGAAACAGGACGTGGTTTTTCGAGTCAGAGCTCTACTTGTCATTCATTGGTTATCTAAGAGGAAGTTACCCCGATGTAGCAATGTTAGCTTAAATGGTTTTGTTTTGAGAGGAAAACGTCAGGAATTGTGTATAAAAAAGGGGAGGGGGGACGTAACTGGTGTCCGAGTCTCTTCTTGACAGTCGTGCTGAGGATATTCCGCATACATGTTTGCATCAAACCCTTCTGGTTATATCTGTCCGGAGTTTGCGGTAAATAATGTGTCTTTGTTTTCTAATAGCAAAAATGACAGTTAGCCACCCTGGAGCTAAAGCAGCTAACAACAGAGACTCTGCAGCATCGCTTCAGCTCAGCTGGTGTTTGCATTTATTAATGCACTTCATCTGATAAGATGATTTTTTTTGGGGGGTCTTACTCCAGTTTCTGAGAGTATTAAACCAGTTAATATAGCGCATAACACTGAAACATTGATCTTCTAGAACATGTGAAGGTTGTAAACAAGGATTGTGTAAAGGAAAAGGAGAATCCAGAGAAGAGCGAGGATGACTGAGATGATGAAGGTTGAAGCAGATGAACCTGGAGGGTTCAGCTTGGAGCCCTCCATACCTGGAGCATCCACATCACATCTGGGGCAGGAGACACAAGACAGCAAAGATCTCAGTAAGTGACACGCATTTGTATATCTGGTTTGGAGTAAATAAACTCTTATGGGAAGTTCCAAGAAGATCGGCATTATATCTTTGGATTCTAAACGTCCACTGGGTCCTGATCTGTATTTCTTTAAGATGACTGTTCAATATAATTGAAACAAAATATTTTGAAACATGCTTGCCATTATCATATTGAACAGATTAGTTTTTTTTTTTCTTAGAGTTGAAAAATGAAAGAGAATGGCTTTCATTTTTTAATGCTAATTTTGTAATCCTTGTGTGTCAATAATGCTCCTGTTTGTTTTGTCGCTCCAAGTTCATCAGATGTTTGAAATTAAAGTGGTTCCTCATGACTGGAACCCAAGTTTGGATCAGCAGGACCCAGATCCCCATATAAAGGAAGAGGAGGAGGAACTGTGGATCAGTCAGGAGGCAGAGCAGCTTACTGTGAAGAAAGAAAATGAAGAGAAACCTCAGTTTTCAGAGGTACAGGTGATCAAGATTGATGACCACAGAAAGACAGAACCACCAATCAGCTGTTTGGGTAACCACATGACAGAAACTGATCGGCAGGACTGTGGAATATCAGAACCGGAGAAAAACCCTGATCCAGTGTGTTCTTCTCAACAAAGTAAAATGAAAGTTCACAGATCTAAACTGTGTTCCACAAACTCGGCGAAAGTGGGAGCCGATGCAGGAGAGAGGCCGTTTGATTGCAGTGTTTGCGGCAAAAGGTTCAAACGCAAGTCTCATGTTAAATTACACATGATGACACATACTGCAAATAGAGAACATATCTGTGATATTTGCAGTAAAGGATTTAGAGAGAAGAGTTCTCTTCAGACACATATGAGACGTCACACTGGAGAGAGACCGTTCGCCTGTGACCATTGTGGCAAAAGATTTCATGCAAAGAAGTTTCTTACTACTCACATGAAGGTCCATTCAGAAGAAAAACCCTTTCCCTGTGATGTTTGTGGTACAAAATTTAGGGTAAAGGAAAGTCTTAAAAATCATATGTGGATCCATACCACAGAAAAACCATTCGTTTGTAATATTTGCAGTAAAGGGTTTTCACAAAAAGAGAGTCTAAAAAGCCATTTGCGTGTTCACACAGGAGAAAAACCATTCATTTGTTCTCTTTGTAGTAAAGGGTTTTCACGACAACAAAGTCTAAAGAGTCACATGCATGTTCACACAAGAGAGAAACCTTTTGTTTGTAGCATTTGCAGTAAGGGATTTTCACAAAAGGAAAGCCTAAAAACTCATATGCGCGTTCACACAGGTGAAAAACCATTTATTTGTAGTATCTGCAGTCAAGGGTTTTCACTAAAAGAGAGCCTAAAAACTCACATGCGTGTTCACACAGGTGAGAAACCGTTTACTTGTGATGTCTGCAGTAAAGGATTTTCACTAAAAGAGAGTCTAAAGAGTCACATGCGTGTTCACACGGGGGAAAAACCTTTTACCTGTAGTGTTTGTGGTAAGGGATTTTCACATTCTGGGGGTCTAAAAACACACATGGCTGTTCACACCGCACAGTTTAGATGTAGCGAGTGCGGCAAATGTTTTGTAAAGGAAATACAGATGGAGCGACACATGAGGCTGCACTCTGAGGAGAGGCCATATGGTTGTGATGTCTGTAAAAACAGATTTAAACACAAGTGTCACCTTGAAAGTCACATGAAACTCCATTCAGGAGAGAAACCAGCTGTGTTTAGTGTTTCCTGTGAAGCATTTTCTCAAGATATTCTCCAGAAACACATAAATGTCACCAAGGGCTGCAAGTAATGATTATGATGATAGTCAACAATTTTGGTCAATATCATGGAAAAAAAAAAAAACTTTTTACTTTTATGATCAAGATTTTATTTTGATTTGCTCACATTAAAGAATTAAAGAATACAGCATCTACTTAGCACTTCTACCCCTATTTTAATTAGATTGTGTCAAGCTCAATAGATGTTTAAGCAACATGAACATTTTATATTATGCTTATTGTCCCCAAAATTAATCTCAGTATCTGGTTCAACTTCAGCATCAAAGTTATTATTAGTATCACATGTAGTAGTTTTAATATTTTCCATGACATTCTCACCAACACAACTATAATGCCTTCTTTACTGAATGATGTTGGGGATAAATTACAGACGGAAACACGGACACATGACGCCCAGAAATCAAACTGTTGATTTTATTTTATTTTTTTATGAACAGAAAGGCTACTGTTTATAGTTTAAATTAGCATCTTGCTATTCCAAGTTCAGGGCACTTTAGGCCTGGACAGTTCCTTACTGCGAAGGTTTGCTGTGTTGACAACATGAATAGATGCATAAACCCACATGTTGTTAAGTGATATTTCGATCAGTTGATTTTCATGGGCTCCTCTTCTGGTCTCAGTTGTGATGAAACATTTTCACTTCATTCTCTCTACTGTTATGCGTGTCACCCACGTTTTCACTTGTGTGTACTGCCACTCCAAAGCTTTTTTTCATTCTGCCAACTTTACATTTTTAAATGTCATCTTCTTTTGCTGTACAGTGTTGCAAATAGAGGAAATACAAGATAAAAATGAATAAATAGTGATTGTGATGCACCCACAATGTATTTTCTTGCTTATTTTAGAGGTGGAAATTTACAAAGTTGATCATTTACATTCCATGTACTAAAAAAAAACAAACAGATGTATTAGGAAATCATCAGTGGGCAATCCAGGATGGAGGCTGCTGTTTATGAGCAAAGAGGCTCATGTGGCTAATTGTTAAAAAAAACAAAACAAAAAAAAACAGTGCATTTAAAGGCTCTTATTGTGAAAATTTAAAGGTTTTGGTACCTAGAACTTGGAACCTGATCAGCCACATCATTTCAAAGAGTGCATCAGCCTGCTCATCATGCTGCCTCTGAAGGGATGCACCATCAGAGCACATTAGGTAAAAATCCTTAGTTTTACTGTGTAAAAGGTTTTACACTTGGAAAGTAATAGCAAAAATATTTAATTGTAAATATTTGTCTTTCAGTTTCTGTTGGAGGTTTATAAAAACCAGAGCATTCCTTGTCATTCATAGTTCAGTGATGAGGAAATTAAACTGCCAAATGAAACATTTTGAAGCTACTATCAAAAAGTAGCGGGTTCGTTATATGAAGCATTTCTACACATTTATCGCTAAGGGCATAAGGAGGCCAAAAGTGAGAGCTAAGTTGTTCAATTTTAAGTAAAAATGAACTGCTTCTTTACAATTGCAAACACTTGAGTTTTACTGACAATCGCCAATTAATCACGATGTGGGAAATGTGTTTCATATCAGAGAGTCATAGTGCTGCTTTGTAGATGTATTTATTGTGAAAGCAAATTCTCATTTGTCTTTGTATAATAAACAATTTCAATGAATAAACATTCTTTGCTAGAGCATCTGCACCATGGTTTTATATTTTGTTTTTGTGATTGTTGACTTTTACACACTCGTATACATTTGTATTTAATTTCCTCTAGAAATTTTGTCCGTAAAATTGGCTGGTTTGTAATAAAACCCTAATTTTATTCCGATTAGTGTGACTAATAGACTTTGGATTGACGGCCTCTTTTAACGGACTCATGTCCCTTGCAAGACCTTGAGAAAGCCACCCTTGCGTTTATCTTTAGTCGAATTGATTACTGCAGCAGCATCCTTTCTCAGGCAGGTCTGCCTGAGAAATCAATCAGACAACAGCAGCTGGTCCAGAATGCAGCTACTCTTGTTCTTACTAGAGCCAGGAAAGCAGAGCACATCACCCCAGCTCTAAACTCCTACAGTTGCTAGGAGAAATGACTGAACAGCTCAGCACTAAAACAGATTAAAGATATTTTGTCATAGAAACCTCAGGTCTTCTCTTTTTAGTCTACTTTGCATCCACAGAATCAGAACCCAACACAGAAAAACAGCAATTGTATTATTTTCCACTAATCTGAAACAAACTCCCAGAAACCTGCAAAAATGATGAAACAAAGAATTTCTTTAAATCAAGATTCTCTGCTTTGCTCAGATTTGCCTTTCATCAGTATCAGCTGGAAAATGTAGGTACTCCTGCATCCTGCTCTCCTGTCAGGATGGAGAGGTGCTTACTGTGAAAATTGAAGATGAAGAGAAGCGTTGTTACTGAGACATGTTATACACATAAACTTATCCTGCCTTCACTGAAACATTTCTCAGAGACATATGAAACGTATCCAGCTTCTTTACACCAGCATAAAAGAGCCAGCAGCTACAAACAGCTGTATTACAACCGTCCCCGGTTTCCATACAAAACAGTGAAGCGGTGTTATTTTCACGCATGCGCAGAAGAGCCTCGCACTCAGCCGGACTGTCTCTAGTGACCCGGAGCTTTACAACGTTAGCTTGACTGCTAAATTCAGGCTTTCCAAACCCCTTGCCGTTGGTGTTCAATAAGAGTTGTACTCCCCTCTTGGCTGTCTTCGTGAGGACATGTTTCTTCGAGGGGGTTGTTTTGTGCGGCTTGTGTAATTTACTCCCGAAACTTGCAGCGTCGAATGTAAATTGCGTTTATCGGTGACCGTTAGCCTCCGTGGAGCTGAAGCAGCTAACGACGGAAGCACCAACTTAGGTTGGTGCTTCTGACGTTCAAACCTTTGAAAGTTCGTGGTTTGGTGTTACAGGGCGAGTCCACACTTAGAGACCGCACCTTCTGTGGACAGCTCTCCTAACCGTGTTGTCTACTTGAGGACAGAGAGGTTGGAGACCGTCACAGTGAACCCAAAACCACTGACCCAGGTATCAAAGGTATCAGGCTGTCTGGTCTGTAGCATCCCTTGTGCTCTGTTTTCCTCTAATGCACTACTTATCAGATGCTGATTTGTGTCCGATTCAGGTTATCTGCCTGAAACCTTAACCTGCTAGGACATGTAAAGGTTGAAAAGAAGGACTGTGAAAAGGAGAATCCCAGGTGAGATGACTGAGATGATGAAGGTTGAAGCAGATGAACCTGGAGGGATCAGCCGGGAGCCCCCAGTACCTGCTGGGTCGACATCAGAACTGGAAGAGGAAGCGAAAGACAGCAAAGACATCAGTAAGTAACACACATTTGTTTGTCTGGTTTGTAGTAAATCAACAATTATTTGGTATCAAGAGCAGAATATTTAAAAGTCTTAAAAGTTTCATAAAACACAATCTTGGCTTGAATGATTCAGCTCTTATTATAGAACAATTTAGTCCTAATTTGAAAGGTCTAGGTCCAATTCTAATGTTTCCCAGATGGGGAAATTCAATTTGCACCATTGGAAAATAGATTTACTCAGCCAAAACATGGCTGAAAATCTCATTGTTTAATTGTTCAAATTTTTCGAGGGCATAACTGTGAAACTAACTTTGTGATCAACTGGATAACCAACCTCGAGCTTTTAGAAAACACTGTTGATCACTTGTATCTGTGAATCAATGAATGCACAACTTTGTCACCAGTCACTGAACAGCAGTAGATGAACATCATCAGAATTTACTGGAATGGGCTCCCCTATCTTTAACTGTGGCAGAGATAAAAATAATATTTTCAATATTTTCTAGCACTGGAAGGTTGATATGTTTACTTGCTACCAAAACACCTTGGTCCAAAGGTTGATTATATGTCACATGATGATCTCTTCAGAACTGCAGCCTTATCACTTGGACAGCTGGATACTTCTGGTTCAGTTCACCTTTGTTCCAAGTTACTTGATTTGTGGCTGATTGCTCTCACTGTGGTTTGATGAAGCCACAGGGTAACTAGCTAAAAGACTAAATTATTGCATGTCAAACTTAGTCGATATGGATCCAACTGCTGTTATTCCTGGCCGCCAAACTTTTCTTAAAACTGCAGTATGAAACTTTTATGTAGATGTTTTTTTTACGTGTTTGTTAAAGCTATCACCACACCCTGACAGTGTAACATGAAGACAGATAATCTGTGAAAGAAAATTGAGCTCCTCTGCCTTCTCCTTGTGGTCCTATTGCTGCCAAAATACACCACTCCTGGTCAGAAATAACCTATCAGAGCCAAGAGGAGGATCTTATTGCTGTCAATAACACTTGTGTGTACGCTGCACATCCTTCCCCCTTGCTCTTTGCTGTGCTACATTTGGTTCCCGAAACCGAAGCCCGCAATGAATGCTTCGGCTTGTTAGTATGGCCACCGATGAAGGCGGAAAAACGGTTTTCTTGTAACGGCAATGTATTTATTTGAGACAAAGAAACATATTTGCAATTATAAATTTTAAAGAGTTCTAATCGTTTATCAGATTTCAGGAAAAGAAATGTATACTTTTAAATATGTAAAATAAGATTTCTAAAAGTAATTGTAAGCATAAAATAATGTCTGTGTGTGTTTCACTGTTCCCAGTCTACCAGATGCTGGTGATTAAAGAAGAGGTTCCCTGTGCCTGGAGCTCCAGTTTGGACCAGCAGAAGCCAAACTCTAACAAGGAGGCGGCAGTTTGGCTCTGTCAGGATGGAGAGGTGCTTACTGTGAAAATTGAAGATGAAGAGAAGCCTGAGCTATCAGAACTTTGTCCATTTGAAACCAATGACAACATAGACTCACAAACTCCGAATAGAAGTTTATCGAAACAGATAGAAACATATCCTAATGGAGGGGACTGTGGAGAACCAGAACCAGACAGAAATGTAGATCCGTTGGGTTTCTCTACGCGAGACCAAGTAAAAGTTTGGAAACGAGGTAAAAGCTCTGAACTTTCTCTGAAACTTAGGAATCAGAGTGGAGTTCAAGGCAGAAAGAAAACATTTGATTGCAGTTTTTGTGGTAAAATATTTAAACATAGGACTTCCGTTAAATTACACATGACAATTCACAGTGGAAAATTAGAACATAGCTGTTATCTTTGTGGAAAAGGATTTAGAGAGAAGAGTTCTCTTAAAAATCACATGATGCTCCACACTGGGGAGAAACCATTTGCATGTGATGTTTGCTGTAAAAAATTTCCTACAAAGACGAATCTGAAAACTCACATGAATGTCCATTCAGGAGAAAAACCTTTTTCATGTGATATTTGTGGTGCAATATTTAAAGTAAAGGAAAGTCTTATAAACCACATGTGGATCCACACCAAAGGAAAACCATTTGTTTGTAGTGTTTGTAGTAAGGGATTTTCACGCCAAGGAATCCTGAACAGACACATGCGCATTCACACAGCAGATAAACAGTTTATTTGTGGCATTTGTAGTAAAGGATTTTCCCGGCAAGGGAATTTAAAGAGTCACATGAATGTTCACACAAGTGAGAAATCGTTTATTTGCAGTGTGTGCAGTAAAGGATTTTCTGAACATAGGAGCTTAAATACACACATGCGTGTTCACACAGGAGAGAAACCATTTACATGTGGTGTTTGTAACAAAGGATTTTCACAACAAGGGAATCTAAAAATTCACATGCGTGTTCACACAAGTGAGAAACCATTTACGTGTAGTGTTTGCAGTCAAGAGTTTTCTTTAAAAGTTAGTCTAAAAGCTCACATGTGTGTTCACACAAAAGAGAAACCATTTATTTGTAGTATTTGTAGCAAAATATTTTCATGGAAACAGAGCCTAAAAAATCACATGCGTGTTCATACAGGTGAGAAACCGTTTATTTGTAGTGTTTGTAGTAAAGGTTTTTCACAGAAAGAAACCCTAAAAAATCACATGCGTGTTCATACAGGTGAGAAACCATTTTTTTGTGATGTTTGTAATAAGGGATTTTCTCTAAAAGCGATCCTAAACACTCATATGCGCATTCACACTGGGGAGAAGCCATTTATTTGTAGGGTTTGCAGCAAAGAATTTTCACAGAAAGAGACCCTAAAAAGTCACATGCGTGTTCACACAGGTGAGAAACCATTTGTTTGTGACATTTGCAGTAAAGGATTTTCTCTAAAAGGGAATTTAAAAAGTCACATGCGTGTTCACACAGGCGAGAAACCGTTTACTTGTGAAATTTGCTTTAAAGGCTTTTTACAATCCAGAACTCTGAAGACACACATGGCTGTTCACACCGCCCAATTTAGCTGTAGTGAGTGTGACAAAAATTTTGTGAAGGAAATACAACTGGAACGACACATGAGACTCCACTCTGAGGAGAGACCATTTGGTTGTGATGTCTGTAAAAACAGATTTAATTACAAACGCTGTCTTGAAAGACACATGAAACTCCATTTAGCAGAGAAACCGTCCATGTGCGGTGTTTCCTGTGAAGCATTTTCACAACATGGAGTTCTGCAGAAACCCATGAATATTCACGAGGACTGCAGTTAATGATTCTGACAGTCAACTAATCTTTTGAAGACTTTCTGGCTGCTCAATGATTTTTTTCTGTTTTGTAATCCACAATGGCAAAACATTTTGCTCCACATTCTCCCTTGTCTGAACAGCTGTGAATTTCATCTCAATTGCCATTCACTTTCACAAAAATTGTGATTGAATCAATTTATAGATAGAATCAAAATGTTGACAATATTGGGAATTGAATGTATATATTTCTCTTAGGCACTGATAGAATATTTATCTCATTAGAAATATTTTAATGATCAAGAAACAAACTTAAATTTACCTTAAAGAAAATTTCCAAAGGTTTCTGGCTGTGGAGGAGTCCTAACTCGAGACGAGGGCTATCTTTAGAAAGTAGATTCATTTCAAAAAGTTTAATTTTGTAAATAGCAAAAGGTTTGCATTTAAATGGACATGCCACATAATTTTATCTGTCAACATGTGTTGACATGTTTCATGTGAGGATACAAATGACTACAAAGAAAAAGAACCTCAGAAACTGTTAACCAGCTGTCAACTAGCGTTGAGTACCTCTAATTTATCAGACTTTGCTTTGTTTGTCCTTTGAATGTCTGTTGTTTTCAATTTATGGTGTTGAATGCACTTTGAGGGAAACGTTTGATTATTATTATTATTTGAGACATGAAAAAAAGAACAGAAATGTATATTTTAATTAAATGTGTCCTCCAAAGTTTTTACCACACCTTGCCATAGAGTCTTTTTAAACCCAAATAAAACTGTACTTGGGAAACTGTACTTTCAAATTTTATGCAAATTAAAACAAATAATTTTCATAAATTATTATTATTATTATTATTGCATTAATGTATGCAAAAATTAATTATTTGCATAATTCATTTTAGAATTTGACCTTCTGGTCCAGATGGTTAATTTTTTCTGAATTTACAGACTTCATTTAATTGGTATATATCACACATGTCCCTTGCTGTAAAGCTGCCTCAGATTAGTATTGTCTAACTTTAAAGCTCAAGGTCTCTGTAGCATATTCCTTGGAAAAAAACCTTGTGTTGAGTAACCAAAAGACAAGGTGTCGTGTAGTTTGTGGTCCACAAAAATGGAGAAGCATGTTGATATTAGTTTAAGGGCTTGTTTGAAATTAAATACTTTATTCAGAGAAGTCTGTTTTGAAGTCTTTACTTTGGTTACCCTGGTCCAGTCCTCAAACACCTCTGCAACTTTTAGGTGTCTTCCTTCTCACGAGGGGTCTGAGCAATTACATTTTTTTTAAAGTTGAGGCTGGCATGTGTTTTTTGCAGAGCTATGAAATTAATGGAGAGATTATAGGGTTTAAAATGTATTTATTAGCATCACGATCCACACTTCATTCCAGAAGCTGGCGGTAATGGGCCAAAACATTGCTTGGGAGCCGCCATTAAACAAGAAGTAGGAGACGGATGTTGAGTGGTAAAGATTTTGAATTTGTACTTTTACGAGTCAGATGGTGAACAGGTGACAAATGTAACCAGAGACGCTTGTATTTGCTTGCTACATTTTGTCGGGGAAAGAGGTCCAACAGCTGAGTTTCCAGACCCAATAACAGCTACTGCAACGTCTGTGAAGGTAATGTTGATTGGCTTTTTTCATCGTAGACGTAAACACACTGCAATGTAGATCAGTTTACCCAAATCTTTAGGCTCATTTCCAAGAGCCATTCAAATGACTGATTTCATTTTTTATTTTTATAAAAAGCCAGACAAAGGTCTTCTGCTCTCTCAGACATAATTTGCTCAGAGGCACCCATTTTGATTAAAAGTACAACTGGATCCATGAAAATATGAGGTGTGCAAGTGAAACTTTAGACCTTAGCTGATTAAAAGAGACTACAGCTGCCTTCCTGAGTTGTTTTGTTATACAAATATTGATCACTTTGATTCCTGCTCTGATTTCTGCTGTTTTTTAGTGTTTCTCAGGTACATTTGTAATACAACCAAAATATGGATGTAATAAAAAGTACAATAAATTGCAAAAAAAAAAAAAATCCTGATAAGCTGTTCAGTTTTCATAAACCATGACACAAATTTATCAACCCAAATTCTTACCACAGAGATACTAATAATAGGGACATATGTCTTTTGAAAGCCACTACTGAGTTCTTATTCAAATGGGATTTTTAAAATCTCAATCGAGCTTCAAAAAGTAGTGCCAGTAAGACCTTTTCTATTTTTTCCTTCATGTTATTTACATCCAGTATTTTTTATAACATTAGAAACCCTGGAAATAAGCTGTGTTTTTAAGACCTACAGCTGTTTTTTAGTTTCTGCCCAGTTGATTTTAAAAAAAGAAAACCTCTCTTGAAAGCGTTTCTATGGCTATCTCAATAAACTAAAAGATGAACACCTCATGAGGTAACTATCTCATTATGAGATAACTATCTCATCATGAGAGATACTATTATGAGATACTATCACATATTAGAGATACATAGCTGTCTCATTATAGAGATTTTTTTTTTTCAATGGCAGAAACGAGTTTCCATAAAGATGATATATTAATGTTTATTTGGTCCAGTAGATGACCAGACATTTTGGAAGTCTTTCTGAGCTTTACTTTGAATTTTGTTTTTATTTTTTTCACAACTTCTCAGGTGGTACATTTCGAAATTCTAAATTAAATGTATTCAGCTATTATATATTTTTAAGATAGAGATTTAAACTTGAAGTGAATGTTTGTGTATTATTTCTTGCCTTTATCTTTTTTCATTATTATTATTTGAATATTTAATATATTTTTCCCTTTTTTTGTGCCGAGAATATTCATTGGTCAGTAAGCAGGAAGATAACCGGATGTGATGTTGCTAACTTGGCTAGCTAGTTCCGGACACAAAAACCTTTTCATTTTAGTATAAAGCAGTATGTTGAGTATAACTGATGGTCTTCGTGGGGATATCGTGTCTGCATGTTTGTCTGGACCCGCTGTGGTTATGTACATAATGTCATTAAGTTTTCTTTAGCGACCCGAAAGGATCGTTAACCACCGTGGAACTAAAGCGGGGAGTTGATAGCTGTTTCTGGCGTTGACGCTTTTAAAAGTTTACCTCTTCTTTAGTCTACATTTTTTTATTGATACATTTTATATGGTCACAGGCTGATTTGAATCTGATTCCAGTCTCAGCAAAAGTGTAGAAGAGCCAGGTTTTATGTCTGAAAGCTTGATTCACTAGAACATGTGAAGGTTGCAGACGGGGATTGTGAAAAGGAAAAAGTCAAGAGGACCGAGGATGTCTGAGACGATGAAGGTTGAAGCAGACGGACCTGGAGGCTTGGAGCCCTCCACGCCTGCAGCATCCACGTCACAGCTGGAGGAAACAAAAGACAGCCAAGATCTCAGTAAGTGACACACATGGACTGGGTCAAATTTACTCAGGATGTTAATCTTTAATCTTTATTAAGGACAGTTCACATTAATGAACAATCAACACTACTGTATAGACTGTAAATGAGCCAGATTATAGCATAATTGCTAATTTCCATCTGTAGTCCTAAACAAGGAGACCCAAACAACAAAAAGACATTATAAGCATACAATCAAGAATTAACAAACATTTCTAACAAACATCCATTTCTGGATGTTTAGCTGGAAGTGATAAATTTGTGTATAAATATTCCAGCAGTCGTTGCAGCGAAGGCACAATTTAACGCACTCAGGTCGGCAGTCCATTATTGAAAATGCATTTATTGTAAACTTACAGTATGTCATTCAGTAACAGTAAATGGCAGTATCAATACAGTGGCAGACTGAGTGGTAAAATGTATCAGACTACATGACCAGGGTAACTTTAACGATTTACCATTTATTTTGCAAATAAATTATTTATGTGTGATAGTTTTATTTTATTTTTGCTAGCAATAAAGTTTCATCAAATTGTGATGTTGAAATTGAGAATGGGTTTTCAATTTCTCAATTGACATATTTTGTGTTGCATTTCTTTTTATGGGGGGAAATGCGTTATTTAAAAAAGTGACACTGAGTTTAAAATTGAACCACTCAATGTGATTGCACGCCATCTTAAATTGCTCGATGACTTTGTCCTAAAATGTACCAGTATCTGGAAATTTTCTATCAGCATTAATAGTTTGAAATGCCCTTCATTAGTTCCTTTCAGAAGCATAAGGACGTCATCCAAAACAGATTTCAACAATGGAGTAAGGTGGTAAATGGTTACAATACTACCATCAACATATAAATATATATTTTTAGATTTTATTAAAAGGAGTTTTATGTTTATTATGTAAATTACCGGAGTTTTCTTTTTAATGATTATTTTGTTTGGAAGCTGTCACTAATGTCATTTTGGGTTTCAATGTTTTCAGTTCATCAGATGTTGGTGGTCAAAGTGGTTCCTCATGACTGGAGCCCGAGTTCAGAAGAGCAGGACCAAGAGTCCCCCCACATAAAGGAAGAAGACGAGGAGCAGGGGATCAGTCATCATGAAGAGCGACTTACTGTGAAGATTGAAGATGGAGAGAAAAGTGAAGATGAAGAGAAACATAACTCAAAGTTATATCAACTGAAAACTGAAGACAACAGAGAGACAGAAGCTCTAATCAGCACCTCAGCTGAACAAATGGAAACAGAACCGAATGGAGGGGACTGTGCAGGAGCAGAACCAGACAGGAACACGGGTCCAGGATGTTCTTTTCAACAAAGTAAGATGGCTATTCACAGAAGACATCGATCATCTAAACTTACGGCTCAGATAGGAATCCAAGAAGGCAAGAAGACAGATGGCGGCAGCCCTGGTAGTAAAAATTTCAAACACAAGACTCAAGATGATTTAAACATGACAAAGTATGCTGCAAAGGGAAACCACAGCTGTGATATCTGTGGTAAAGAATTTGTAGTAAAGCGTTATCTCCAGACACATATGAGACTCCACACTCATGAGAGACCGTTTGCTTGTGATGTTTGTTCTAAAAGGTTCCATAGAAAGACAAATCTTAAAATCCACATGATGGCCCATTCTGGAGAAAAACCTTTTTCCTGTGTGGTTTGTGGTAAGAGATTTAAGGTAAAGGAAAGTCTTAAAAATCACATGAAAATGCACACCACAGAGAGACCATTTGTGTGTAATATTTGTAGCAAAGAATTTTTAAGACAAGAAAGTTTAAAAAGTCACATGTGTAGTCACACAGGAGAGAAACCTTTCATTTGTAGCGTTTGTAGTAAAGGATTTTCACGACATTTGGAACTGAAGAGACACATGTCTGTTCACACTGGGGAAAAACCATTTATTTGTAGTGTTTGCGCAAAAGCCTTTTCCCTGAAAGATCACCTAAAGAAGCACATGCATGTTCACACAGGAGAGAAACCTTTTATTTGTAGTGTATGCAGCAAAAGATTTTCACAAAAACAGAATCTAAAGAGTCACATGTATGTTCATACTGGAGAGAAACCGTTTGTTTGTAGCATTTGCAGTAAACCATTTTCACGACAAGAAAGTCTAAAAACTCACATGCATGTTCACACAGGGGAGAAACCATTTATTTGTACTGTTTGCAGTAAAGGATTTTCACAACCAAGAAAACTTAAGACTCACATGCGTGTTCACACAGGAGAGAAGCCATTTGTTTGCGGTGTTTGTAATCAAGGATTTTCGCAACGCAGAGACCTGAAAAAACACACTGCTGTTCATACTGGTCAGTTCAGCTGTAGTGAGTGTGATAAACGTTTTGTGAAGGAAATCCAGTTGGAGCAACACATGAGACTCCACTCGAGGGAGAGACCATTTGGTTGTGACGTCTGTAAAAGCAGATTTAATCAAAAATGTGTTCTTGAAAATCACATGAGAGTTCACTCAGGAGAGAAACCTTTTGTTTGTAGTGTTTGTAAAAGAGGATTTGTGCGACACGAAAACCTTAAGAAGCATATGGGTGTTCATCAAGGGTGCATTTAATGTGCACCACTGGTCTACATGATAGTAAACAATTCCCACAGTTAAGAATCTAATGACCATTGAAGTGTGAATTTAAAGACTCTTTTTCTTCTGTCATTTATCAGCTCTACTTCACAATTTCAAAAACTTTTATAGAATTCAAACTTCAACAGAAATATTCCCCTCTGATTACAGGTATTGTAACCATTTCAGTGCTCTTTGAAATCATAATTCAACTTCTACGGAGATATAAAGTGTCCACTTTCCAACATGTCAGTATTCTTAACTCAACAGCCAAAAATTATTAATCGAAAGCAACTCTAAGCAAATGTGCTTTCAACTCAGCATTTTTTATTTATTTATTTTTCAGCTTTCTGGAAATTTGTTCCAGATTACTAGAGTATAAAAACTGAATACTGCTTCCCTGATTCTGAGATGGAGAGGTGTAGTCAACTCTCCTACAGGCTACAACTGCATTGTGGATTAGCTTCTGATTTTTTTAGGCAGTAACACGACTGTTGGGGTTAGTCAATCCAACCAAAGATGAATGCATGAATGGGTTTATCTAGATCTTCCTGGGACATTAATCCCTTTTAAAACTTTGAAATGTTCCTCTGGAGATAGATGTTTGTAATTGCCTTTTTGTGTCTGAAGGTTCAGATCACTACACTCAGATTTTGGATATCATCTCTCATTTCAAACTGTAACGGTTGAAGCTGTGTGTCGACTCTTGATCATTCCAAAGATAACTTCTGTTTTGTTTAGTTATATTTTGAAATTGTAAATCCTGGAAAGCTAATTTTCTAAGCAATTTCTATTGTAAAACAGAAAAACTTCAAACAAAATTTCCATAAAATACATTTCAACAAATATTTGCTTACTATAATTATGTTATGAGAGTTCACTAGTCAACAGCAACATTTATTCTGACATTTTCTTCAAAAATGGAAACGGGAGAGTTAATCTTTATAAAGAACTGTTCCCTAAAATGCAGCAGTTTTTGTTTAAAAACACAATTTTATAACAGTAATAAAGGTCAAACTTCTATATGTTTCTTCTGTATAATTGCTATTTATGCATACATTGTTTGCATTTCCCATACCAGTGGTAGAGTGATATGTTGCACAATGTAATTTTGGTTTGAATAATGAAATAAATTACCTGCTGGTTTAATAATTAGCTACAAAATCTTAGATTTCCACTAGAGATGTAAGCTATCCTCAAATCTAATTTACTCACATGATCTGTATTTTTCACTCACCACTGCTTGAAAATGCTTTTTTTTCGTCATGTATAAAAACGAAGCATGTAAAACACCATGCTTCGTTTTTAGATGTGTTCTAAACAACTGTAATAAACTTATTTAAAAACCGTTTTGGATTGAATTTGATTCGATATTGATTTATGTGAGCTGTGCAGATTTTTCTAAGGTGACTTTATATTTTCCGTGTGAATTAACTCTACTTAAAGAAACTGACTGGAGCATTAAAAACAATGCGTCTTATAGTAAAATATGTTTTCGGTGTTTTTAGGCTTTCATTGATATTCTTTTATTGTGAAAAGCTAAAGGTCGAAAGAGGAAGTAGTTTTTCCATCCAGAGCTTTCATTGGCCAATGCTTCGAACGTAACCGGATCTTAGCTCGGTGGCTAAGTCCTCCAGAAAAAAACGTCTTGAAGTCTCTAGAAATATTGTTTGATTTATTTTCTGGGCCCTACATCAGTATCTCCGTGTAATATTGATTCTATGTGTTTGTTCTGAACCACTTGGATTATTTTTCGCCTAAGTTCTTAGTACAGAAGATAATTATTCTTAATTAGTGAAGTGAATATGCTGTGAGTCAGCCCGGAGCTAAAGCAGCCAACAGGAGAAACTAAACCAAGTGAGGCCTTTTAAAGTTCACGCAACATGAGTCCACACAGTTTGTTAGCCTGGAGGAGGAAGAATACACCGTCTGTGGGCACCTTCTCTAAGCTTGTTGTCTGAGGACCGAGAGACTGGAGACAGTGGATCCAGAACCACTAACCAAGGTATCAGACTCGCTTCAGCTCCGCTACTGTCTGTTAGTACACTTTACTTGGTCAGAAGTTGATTTATGTCTGATTTCTGTTTCAGCGGCAGAATAACAGAAGACCTGGGGAATATGATTGAAATTATGAACTACTATAATATGTGAAGGCTGTGATTGGTGAAAAGGAGAATCCCAAGTGGATTGAAGATGACTGAGATGATGAAGGTTGAAGCAGATGAACCTGGAGGGTTCAGCTTGGAGCCCTCCATGCCTGCAGCATCCACATCAGAGTTGGAGAAAACACAAGACGACAAAGATCTCGGTGAGCGTATGGATCGGAGCAAAGTTATTCTGGGTGCAAAGAGGGGGGGGGGGGGGATTACACGTTTGCAGAAAGTATCAGAAATGATTACATCAGTAAGTATCTCAGGAGTCATTACATCATAGGCAGTGTACACCGTGAGGGTGAATACTACAATTGGAAGGTCAAAGCATCAGGATGTAGAAATAAACCAATCTGACACAAGTAACAATCATCAAAGCTTGGTCATCTTAATGAGAATCTCTAACTAATTTAGAAGATCTCTGAAAGGTGCAAGTAAAACATCCAGGCAGTAAACACTGTGACTCATGCCCTCTTCACCAAAGAAAAAAATAACCTAAATAATTTTTTTACACATTAAAATGTGTAAATAAAAAAATTAATTAGTGCTTACTTAAAAATATACTCTAAATTGTATTTGTTTATTTAGTGGTATTTATTTTACACAGTATATGCTGTCTTACCTTTTTATTTAATATCCATGTGTGTTTCAGTGTCTACTGATCAGCTGCTCTTGGTAATTAAAGAAGAGGTTCCTGATCTGCAGAACTGCAGTTTGGACCAAGAATCCCCTCACAAAAAGGAGAAAGGGGATGAACTCTGGAGCTCTCAGGAGGAAGAGCAGCTTGATGAGAAGGAAGAGATGGATTTCAATGCTGTTAGTGTGAAGAGTGAATGTGATGAAGAGAAACCTCAGTTGTCAGAACTTGATTGCATCAAAAGCGAAGACAAGATAGCCACAGAAGCTTCACCTCGCACGACTGTTGACCAGGTTGAACAGAGGGAAGCAGAACCTGATGGAGGATCAGAACCAGAGAGGAACTCTGATCCAAATACAGATGAAAATGCTTTGGATTCTTCTGGGACTGAAGTCAGTGAGGCCGAGGGGAATGGTGATTGGCAGGGACCTTTGTCAGGTTATGAATCTAGAGGCAAAGATTGTCTGAACAGCCACGAGAGAACAGCTTCTCTGTCAGACATAAGCTTTGATAAGAAACGTAGCACCGGCAAAAAATGCTTCAGCTGCTCTGAGTGTGGCAAACACTTTACCTCCAAGGAGGCTCTTCAGAGACACCTGAAGAGTCGGGTAGGAGAAAGGTGTTTAAGCTCATTAAACGAGAAATGTCTGAAAGTCCAACAAAATATAGATTCATGTTCCAGACTCATCAGTGAGGGAAGCCAGTTGAAATGTGATGAAAATGGAAAAAACTGTAATTGTAAAGACAATCTTCAGTTACATCTGTCGGTTCATGCCGGTGACAAACAATTTAGTTGTGAGATTTGTGACAAACGATTCAAAAGTAAGTACTACGCTCGAAGACACATTATGATGCACTCTGGAAAGAAAGGCCATAACTGCGATCAGTGCGGTAAAGGGTTTATAAAGAAGAGTCAGCTTCAGACTCACATGAGACTCCACAGTTCAGAGAAACCATTCGCTTGTGACGATTGCGGTAAAGGCTTTAATCAGAAGTCACACCTTAAAGTTCACATGACGTTCCACTCTGGGGAGAAGCCAACAGTTTGTGATCTTTGTGGTAAATCATTTAGTGTAAAGTACTACCTCAAAGACCACATGAGAACTCACACTGGAGAGCGACCATTTTCCTGCGACGTTTGTGGTAAGACTTTCCGGAGAAAAACAAACCTCGACCTGCACATCAGAGTCCACTTAGGGGAGAAACCTTTCGCCTGTAGTGTTTGCAATAAGGAGTTTTCACGACAAGGAAACCTGAAGCAGCATATGAGCGTCCACAGCAGCGACAAGCGCTTTGTTTGTAGCATTTGTAGCAAAGGCTTTTCACGAAAAGAACATCTTAAGCTGCACATCGGCGTTCACACCGGAGACAAAACGTTCGGCTGCAGTGAGTGTGGGAAAAGTTTCCTGCAGAAGATCCACTTAAGACGACACATGTTGATCCACACAGGAGCGAGACCGTTTGCCTGTAATGTTTGTGATGGAAAATTTAAGCTAAAGCACCACCTTCTGACTCATATGTTAAGCCACGCAACAGAGAAATGATCAATCAATTGTCAATGTCCTGCAGGTCAACTTTGTTGAACTCCTTAAAATGTCTCTAATCTTTGGTTATGAACTAGTCATTTATTCAGCTGTGTTGGACCAGGGCAGCACTTAAAAAACATTCAGGACTGACTTTGGGCACGCCACTGTTTGAAGCCTTCTAGCTGCTCATTCTTTCGTTATGTGTCTGAAGAGACTGTCTGAAACACATAATTTGAAGCTGTTAGAAAAACATAACAATGAAGGGAAAAACAAAAATGTACAATGCAGCTGTTTTTAGAACCGTGTATCTCTGTTTTGACTATTTGTTTATGGAAAAACATTGGTGATACTCTTGACATAAGTGATTAAAAACCAAGAAGTACTATTGAGCTGTGCTCATTTCTCCATGCTTTTGAAAAACTGATTTGTATGAATATCAGAGTCACTGTTCCAAAGTTTTAATTAATTTAATTATGCAGTTTATAAAAGGATTAAAGGACTCGTATATGAGTATCTTGCTCCTTCAACTGGAGTTATTGATGCACAAATGTAACAGATTCACTTGGCAGAGAATAGGCTGCACCTCTGACAATAATGCTAAGATAAATTTTTCTGGTGATTGCCTCTTTTGTAAGCAAATAGAGGTGAATGGAGCAATTAACTGAGCATAAATAAACTACTGTAATGATCACATTTATACCATAAAATTATTGTTTTAATGATCCTACAGTGTTAAAAAAATTCTGACATACTTGTCAGAATGTAATTGGACACATCTCAAAGAGGTATTTTGTCCAGTCAAAATATGGTTAGGGGTATGTAAATAATGTAACTCAATTTCTGATACCTGGAATGTAAATGTGATGAAGCAGAAATGAAAGTAATCTTTTAAAAAAAGAAATAATATATGACAGGAAAACTTTTAAGTATCCTTGTAATATCTGTAGAAAAAAAATTTAAACCTTTTTTGCGGCTTACAAGACACTTACTCACTCACACAAAAAGAAAAACAATTGTTTGTTTGAAAAGGTTTTCATGGTTGGAATCTCTGGATAGACACATCAAAACGTACCACAATAAAAAGATGCAACTTTTTCTTCATGTATTAATAGTTGGTTTTTGTCCAAGACGTGTTTGTGCAGTCATATTCCACAAATTAGAATATATGTCCCAATGAGTGGCCAGATTAAAAGTACTGTTTGGAAATCACTTTTAAGCAGGTATTAAGCATACTTTTCAGGCAACTTTTCTGTTTTTAAAAAGTTTTTATTGGTCTGATGTAATCTAATTTTTAATGTCTGTTTTTATTAGCCGTAAGTGGAAAATCATGACCAGAAGTAAAGGCTTTCGAACATCCATCTGTGTGTAATTAATCTATATAACAGTGATGTGCTTTTCAATAATATTGTCATTTATTAAATAGAATTAGAATGGAATAGAATTCAACTTTATTGTCATTGCACTGTCACAAGTACAAAGCAACGAAATGTAGTCTGCAGTGGTCATTGCTATATTTTAACATTCACCAAACAGAAGCTGATTGTACAGAAGTCCCATTAAAATTACTAAAATTGTTTCTTATTTAAATTTTTATTATTGAGCTACCATTCCTATTGCTGCCAACAGATGGCAGCAACGAGACATGTAGGACCCATACCTGGAGTGTGTCTGTAACGGTGCCTGATCAAAATCCATCAGCGATCCATGGTTTCCGGCGACATACCTGTCGTAGTCGAGACAGAATTGCACCCGGTTGCAATCCGAGTTGATGGGGTTGGTTCGTGTGAAGCGGTCCTCTGATTTGTTTTTACTGACTGCGGGGACACCATGGATGAAGTGGATTATGTTGAACAGCACGGACGTGAAAGTCAACCGTTAGATGAAGTGCAGATGAAACAGCTCGACGTCCTTCTGCCGCAGGAAGTTAGTGGAAATCAAACAGCTGGTAAGAAGAAGCGCTGCGAGGGTAAAACTAGCTTAACTGAGATTCGGTTGTTCTCTCTTCTGAGCTTGACGCTTCCTTCGCAGTTACAGTTATAGCTGTACGTCAACGTATCCGCCATGTAGGGAAGGGAAATAGAGACATTAAGAGTGGGGGTGGGGTGAAATTATTTGTACTGCATTAAAAATAGTTAAAGGCTTAAAATTCAGAAAATGTTTCTGATAACTTAATTAGTACTCTTATAAGTTTACTAAAGTGCAAACTTCTTGTGCAGTTTTTTTTAATCATGAAGGTTTTATGTCGGTAAGACAAAAAATGTTCCCGCAAACCCTAAATTTCTTTCAGTCCTATTTAAATTGCGAGACGAGTGTAGGAGTGGGGCACCAGTGGAAAATATTTATATAGCCACCTGGGTTTTATGTTGCTATAAAACCATAAGTCTAGAAACAGAATTTGATATTTCTCTAACACTGTCAAATTTGTAAGTCAACATTGTTGTCCATGTAAATTTCAGTGTTCCCAGTCCTTCGGGTGCTGATCGTTAAAAATGAGGTTCTCCATGCCTGGAGCGTCAGTTCCCAGCAGCAGCAGTTCCCAGACGGCTTCCGCATAAAGGAAGAGGAGGAGGAGGAGGAAGTCTGGACCAATCAGGAGGAAGAGCGGCCAAATGAGCAGAAAACGACTAATATCAGCCAGTTCCCTTTAACTGATGTGAAGAATGAAGGTTATGAAGAGAAACCTCAGTTATTAGAGCTTCATCAGATCAAAACTGAAGAAAGCCGAGCGACTGAAGCTCCAATCAGCAGCTCAGCTCAGCAGATAAAAACAGAACCCCATAGCAAGAACATTGTAGGACCAGAACCAGACAGGAACCTGAATCCAGCATGTACCTTTGAGCAAAATACAAATAAAAATGCTTCAGATTCCTCTGACACAGAAGCCAGTTATGATGATAATGATGAGGACTGGCAGGGACCTTTGTCAGATTCTGAGTCTGAAACTAAAATGAGTCACAATTGTGAGAATGTCCTGAGTGTATCTCAGTCAAATGTCAATGGTGAAAAGAAATGTAACTCAGTCGTGGCAGGTGATGAAGGAGAAAAACTGTTTGCTTGCAGTAAATGCAATGAAAGATTTAAAAAGCGGGACAATCTTACGGATCATGCTAGGATCCACACTGGCGAGAAGCCATTTGGTTGTGATGTTTGTGAGAAAAGATTCAGGCGGAAGGACTGTTTGCGAAAACACAAGATGATTCACAGCGGGAAAACGGCGCACAGCTGTGATTTCTGTGGGAAAGGGTTTATAGAAAAGACGGATCTTCAGGCGCATATAAGACTCCATACCGGAGAGCGACCTTTCACGTGTGATGAGTGTGGAAGAAGGTTTCACAAAAAGTCAATTCTCACAGTGCACATGAGAGTCCACTCTGGGGATAAGCAGTTCAAATGCAGCGTGTGCGAGAAAAGATTCCGATTTCAGCACATTCTTAAAAAGCACACAGTTGTTCACACCGGAGAGAAGCCGTTTGTTTGTGACGTCTGTTGTAAGGGATTTTCTCAACAAGAAACTCTGAAGAGACACATGGGTGTTCACACAGGAGAAAAAACGTTTGCTTGTAGTGACTGCGGTAAAGACTTTCAACAGAAGATACACTTAAAGGAACATATGAAGGTTCACACGGGGGAGAAGCCATTTGGCTGTGAAGTGTGCGGTAAGAAATTCAAAAAGAAGTCATACATTAAAACACACATGATGTCTCATGCTGGAAAGCGAGCGCACAACTGTGAGTTGTGTGGGAAAGGCTTTTTAGTCAAGGGTGGTCTTCTGAAACACATGAGGATTCACAATGGAGAAAGACCTTTCAGCTGTGATATTTGTAGCAAGAGCTTTCTGCAGCTGATCCATTTGAAGGGGCACATGAGAGTTCACACAGGAGAGAAACCGTTTGGATGTGATATCTGTGGTAAAAAGTTCACAAAGAAATCCTACGTTACAGCACACATGATGTCTCATGCTTGACAGATGACGGGATTACTGTGTGTACTTGCAGATACGCACCAAACGTCACACAATTGCAGGATGTCCGCGCATCCTTAAATCTTAAATTCATGTATCTAAAATAAAAGCCTCAAATTGTCTGGAAACAGGCGTCAAAACGAAATATTGGCCTTAAATACGTAAATCACAGGTCTTAAGTTTTCTTGTGTCAAGACTGTTTAATCTCATGTGTTCTATGTGGTTTTCGGTTTTCTTGTGGGACTTTGCTATTATGCAAGGCTTCGAGTGTGTGGGTCAAGGTGGTTGCCGGTGACTAGCTGCTAGGATACTCTTGCTGTTAAACAAGGTAAAGCTAGCTTACTCATTTGTTAATTAAGAGCACATTTTTCAGCAGTTTATGAATATTTGTCTTTGCCACTAACACACTTCAATTGCCAAGTCATACAGTTTATTTGCGATTTTCTTTTGTACATTTCTGTTGTGAAATGTACAAAATCCCATTCATAATGGTCTTTAAAAAGTCTTAAATTTGAGTTGGCGTAACCTGCAGAAATTTTGTAGGGGGTGACGATTTGGCCTATGCCACACTGGAGGGTTTGGTACTTGATATTTGGAATTAAAAATGGAAATGAGGCATACCATTCTGGGACAACATTTCTTAGAGAAAGATGCCCAAACGATCTTACACCCCTACAAAACATGCCTGTTTAATGTATCTGAACTGAACCCAATATTTGTACCTTAGAGCAAATTGAGCATAGCTGGGCTTTCCCTTTGTAAACTGGCTACTAGAAAGGAGGTAAAATATCAAAAATACCATTACTATAATAGTGATTGTTATAGTTTTTGTTGTTCAAATACATTTGACATATTTGTACTGATTTTTGTTAAAACAATCTGATTAAACTCTAGAGAACTTAGTAAAATTTAATGTCTTCTATTGTGCTTTTTTGTGGAGTTTTTGCCTAATGTGGATATATAAAAATTTTTTTTTCTTTTGCATCCATTCTTTCTGTATGTTATCTCTTTTCACAGTTTTGTTGCTTTTGGTTCTTTCTTTTTTCTTTTTTTTTCCTAAAAGTCATTCAATTCAGTTCAATTCCCATCAAATGTTGTCTCGGTCCACTTTACAAGATAAACAGATGTAAGTTGTGTGCAGAAATGTGTAATCAAATGAATCCATATATTCTAATTTAATCAGATTCATCATACCATGCATTCAAGTTCAGTTTTTGCTTGTTGGTCTAAAAGTTTTTTATGTCAGAAAACCAAATCAGTGTTATTGAGAGACAATACAGAAATACGTCCTCTTGAACAAGCATGTCGTGACTGTACTGCTGATTGCATGGAGACATTAAGTTTGCAGCAAGCCCTCATAGAGATCATGTATGTCACAACAATGGAAGGAAACAACTCCATTGTAACAGGATGAAACCTCTAGTGGACTGACGAAGACAGAGCAGACACAAAGAGCTGTGACCCAGGAGTACTTTCTTTGTTAGAAGTAAAGTATAAAGAGTTTAGAACAGGAACAGCTCTCCTGGCAGGGTCATCTGGGAGAAAATGAAGTTTCATTTGAAGGTGAAGTTGTCATCTTCTGATTGGGGAAACGCCTGGGGGAAAATGCCACCTAATTCTTCACTACCTTGAGCATCTTTAATCTGTCCTGGTTAAAAACTAAAATATGTAGGTACTTCTAAGATGGTTTTGATTATTCTACACAGATTGCAGAATATCTAAAACCATATCAATAAAGGACAATATTAGTTATTTTTGCATCTGTACCACATTCCATCTCCAAAACTCTTAAGACAGACTCTTCAAACCTGGTCTATTATGCACTAATATCATAGTACTTAAACATAGTTTATAAAACTGTTATTTGACTTACTGTTATTTGGCTTCAACAAGGGCAATATGAGCACATTTTAAACCAAAAAGCTTTTAGTTTTCCTCTATTTTGAATGCACACCGGTAGGGTGGTGGGATGTCTGCCCTAGGTTGGACTGCAATCTGGTTTGTCCACCAGATGGCAATAAATAGCTTTTTTTTTTTTTTTTCAAATAAGCAACAAATAAATACACTTTGGAGATTCGCAAAAATCTCCTGTCCCCCCCCCCAAAAAAAACAAACAAACAAACAAGCAAACAAAAAAACAAAAACAGAGCGTTGATTTAAAAATAAATATTTGTTGAATATATTTTAGGTGCGTTCACCTAAAATGAACGCACCTAAAAGCACGCGTCTCCTTTAAGAGCTGTCTCCGCCCAGCCGCGGCTCTTCCGGGTGTGGGTGTGGACTGGATGACTTCAGCAATAATGGAGGAAAATCTGCTCTGCTGTTAGACAACACTTTGACTTTTTGACTCAGTCTGTAATATTCCAGTTCTTGGAGCTGGAATGCTGTGTCAGGATGGGAAACCTGTTTGGAAAAAAGAAACAGTCCCGGGTGACGGAGCAAGATAAAGCCGTCCTGGTGAGAACGAACTCCGATTAGCAGCGGGCTAACGTCGCCTAGCACTCTCGCCAAACTCTACGAATCAATCTAATAATTTGAAAACTTTATGCTTTTTGGAGTAGCTCACGGAAATCTGAAACAGTTTAACCCTCGCTTTTTCGCCTATTTATAAACTTGTTGTGAATTCGGCCTGACTGTGTGAAGAACATAATCTTAAACTAACACGGGTTTGGCTTTTGTATGTGCTCTCAGAAAGAAAGCTGTTCTTGGGCAGTGTGTTGTTGTGTATTGTAAAGTTGTTAAAGATCTGAGTCGGATCAGCCCAAAGATGAAACATTGACGTTTGTCTGTGAGCTAAAACTTATTCGTTTTGTTTCGTTTCCGCAGCAACTGAAGCAACAGAGAGACAAACTGAGGCAGTATCAGAAGAAGATCCACCTGCAGCTGGAGAAGGAGAGACAGCTGGCTAAGCAGCTGCTCAAAGATGGGAAGAAGGAGTGAGTGAACTGAAAATCATTGTGCACTAACAGGAACAGGTTTCATGGATGTGCATTCTTCAAAATCCTGACTGAATATGATCATCAATCCTTTTTGTTCCAGATAAGAAATAAGTTGCAGAGCCTGCTTGTTAGGTGTAACAAGCAGGCAGCTTTGTCGTTTCATCAGTAATTGTCAGGTTTTAGCCTTTAATGTGTCAGAGTGTGAGCTTCTGAATGTGGACCTGCAGATAAAATGGGCTGCCATCTATGGACAACATAAAAATTTCTCAACCTTTCAAAATGAAAATTTTTGGCTATGAATGAGATACATTTACCAAAACAGATTTTTTTTTAAATCACTGAAAGTCAGCTGCTCAGCTCCATGTGACGATAAACTATTATTTTTATTTTTTCTTTCAGAGCTTATGAGTGAAATGAAAGGAAATTTTATTAGAGTTGTAAATATTGATATTACTAAATATCAATATTTAGTAATACTAAATATTATTAGTTAGTATCAATACTTACTAAAGCAATGATGGGAAAAACAAAATAAAAAAAGAAATCTGTATCTGAACAAGGACTTGTGGGTCTTCTTGTTGTGCTTCAGGATCTAATCTGACAAACTACTGTGATGTTAAAATCCCACAGGATGATTTTCGTCAGTGCTGTGTAACTTAACCCTCGGATGGGAACTGTAATACTTTCAGCAGCGGCTCTGTGTCTGATCACTGACTCTGCTTTGATCTTCCTCTCCAAACAAACAGGAAAGCCCTCCTCCTGCTGAAGAAGAAGCGATACCAGGAGCAGCTCCTGGACAAGACGGAGAACCAGATCAGCAACCTGGAGCGGATGGTGAGTGACGGCGGCGTTTCTTTGGCGACAGCCGACATGACTCTGACTCCTCTGCTTGTTGCTTGTTTCAGGTCCAGGACCTGGAGTTTGCTCAGATTGAGAGGAAGGTCATTGATGGGTTGAAAGTTGGAAACGATTGTCTGAAGAAAATGCATGAGGTGGGAGATGTTTGTTACGTTTAAAGGTCTGGTCTCAAGTTTTATTGGAGGCCTGATGAGGCTGTGATTACCCCCAACAGGTGATGTCGGTTGAAGAGGTGGAGAGGATCTTGGATGAAACGCAAGATTCCATTGAGTACCAGAGGGTCAGTTTTTTGCTGACGTGGTCATTCACACACGTGGAGCGAGTCGGGATTGATTCCATCCTAACGTATTTTTGTCTCCGTGCAGCAAATTGACGAGATGCTGGCTGGTTCCTTGTCGCAGGAGGACGAGGATGCTGTTCTGGCTGAGCTGGAGGCCATCACTCAGGTCAGACTGAAATAAAACTTAGAGAGAGGACGTTTCATGACCTGAGAGCGGGTCGATGCTCATCATGGTCGTTCTGATCCGATTCTCTCAGGGAGACGTCGAGCTTCCAGAGGTTCCTTCAGAGCCGCTGCCAGAAGCCCCTGAAGCTGCAGAGAAAAAGCCAGGTCTGCCGTTTCACTCGGGTTTGTTTGCAGAATCTGTCACTTCTACGTTTTAATCTCAGTGATGTTCTTGACACCATGAAAGCAAAGTGTTTGGTAGTTTATTAGAGGGTTAGGGTTAGACAGAAGTACACCAGCAATGACATAAGAGATGCGACTGTTGATGCCCGTCAGTATGGAAAGGGGTGCAGGACCATTTTAGATCAGGTCAAAGTTTTGAGTCTTCATTGTGTTTTGTGACTGGAGGTGGTTGAGGAGCTAACTAGCTGCTGATTTTGCTTTTGCTTTTTGCATCTATCATGGGTAAGTGCAGCAAATGTTTGTTTTCGCCACTCTCTCACTTCTGCTGCCAAGATCAGATACGTCTGTGCAAAATAATTTTTAATCAAGGCACTATGTAGGTCGTGACTGTAAAGAACTTTATGCTGTGTGAAAAGCACAAACAGCATCTGTAACTACGAACAGATCCCAGAAATCTCAAATTTTTTACTATGCTTGATTTTAATACAACACGATCTCCAAAACCATGGTTGCTCTTTCATACTTGGCAGCAGGTGTGTGTTAAAAACAATCTTTACACACATTCTGTTCCCGTGGTCCGTCGCCGAGTTCACTTAAAGCTCCTTGGTTCAGTCAGCCTGACCCAAACAGCCTCTCTGCTCACTCCACAGCGGTTTCAGTCCCAGCTGAGTGTGTGCGGCTGTGTTTCACTTTCAGAGAGCGATCGTCCCAGGAAGAAGCAGGAGCGAGAGCTGCTCGCCGTGTAGGAACAGAGCTGACCCCCGTTACCAACCAACGCCCTCCGCAGATGTTTTTCCACCCTACACATCCGCGGTAGAAACCCTCCTGATGACTGGTTGTGTTCAGCTGCCGCAGGTCGGTTCTAAAAGGAAGGGCCGGTTCACCTGCTACGCCTTGTGAACCTTGAATTCCTGTGAAATCACATAATTGTGCCTAACTTTAGTGCAAGCAGTGCATCATGTTTACTATGAAATCATTTTTAATTAATCCAGAGCATGTATACTGTATGTAACTAGTTTAATCTCCCTAAATAATCTGTGGATCAGAGTCGAGTTCAGAGAGGATCGTTTCATCCAAAATACTGACAAATGAATGGACTTTATATCTGCGGCTTTGGTTCATTAGGACAAAAAGAAAAATCATATTCAAGATTTTAGATCTTAAACATGTCTTTGGGTGAAGTGATCTTTTCATCACTTCAAAAGAAAATTTTGAAGTAAAAGAAAATTTTTCCTTCAAAAGAAACGAAACGTCTGCATCCATCCTTCAAAGTCTGACACTCCACAAGCAGATTACCTAATCTAATCCCTATTCCCCTCGTGGATTAGCTCAGCCTCAATGGGAAAAGGCCGGGCCTATCTCATCTGATGTAATCTACAGAGTCTTCTGTAATCATCTTCTTGCGTATGACCCATACTTGGATCTGCAGGAGGAACTTTGCTTTGCTTCCACGAGGTAGAATGGTCGAACATCTGTGAAGACCCGTGGAACGAAACTGTAAATCATTTAAACTCTGGCGACTGATCCTGTCCGACGGCAGCATCGAAGTAAATGTTTTAAAGTTGGTTTGGGAATTTCTGTACATTGTTTTTACAATAAAAAGTGTTTCTATTGTTCAACGTTGAAGTGGTTATTCGGTGAGTGAACACAAGGTGGCAGCAGTTAACAAACTCAGAATCTTTTCTTGCATACATTTAATAAAAGCATTCATAGCTTCTCACACTATAACTACAAATTACACCTTAATTTATTTGGTATGTCGTGGTTATTAATAAAGTCATGATGAGGTTATGAGGCAGAATCCCAAGCTTTGAACAGTTTATCATCTGGACATTGAAAGAAGATGGTTCAACTGGAAAACTACCAAGACATGGCTGCTCAACTCAACTGGCTGGGCAGAGAGTCAGAGAAGCAGCCCAGAGGTTTATGGTTCCACTGGAGGAGCTGCAGAGGTCCACAGCTCAGGTGGAGAATCTGTTAACAGGACAGGACACCTCATAACCATGCAGACATTCTTGAATTCACTGAAAATGAAGGTCTTAAAATGTCTTAATCTCATTTTTAAAAAAGTAAGTTGGCTTTTAATATGTTAACAGGTTTTAACTTTTGTCTTGACGAGATTATTTAATCTTGTATCTTTTCTTTGTTGTTTTCTCATAGAAATTTTCTGTCGGGCAAAAGTTTAAGCTCCGGGCCAGCATGACCTTACTATATGTTCTTTATTTCCCAGCAAATCGATGGTGGCATTACATCTTTCTGCTTTGAATAAGGGAACAATTACTAACCACTGTACAGAATCTCACTTCAAACATCCAATTTAGCTTTAAAAGTAAAAAAAAAAAAAGAAAAGAAAATGTTCTGTTGAAAATGACAGCAGTTTTGCGCCTGTGTGTCATTGGTGCTGTTTGTTTTGTGAATCAGATCCTGACAATTTGATCTTTGACGTCGCCTGGTCAGAGAGGATTTGCCTCTAACTGCCATACAATCCTGTTTCTGCATCTGCACTAACAGATGCTTCGCGTCACGCAGCTTCTCCTCCCTCTGTGAATTTAGTTGCGCTTTAAAAGCTTCGGCACTAATACAGGAAACAGAAGAGCAGCCATTGTTCTGTCACCTCGCGCCTTTTCATGTCAACAAAGCCCGCGCAACAACAGCGCGTCACCCGGGCCTGAAATAGGCTGACCCGCGCTGCGAACGTCCACTCTCAGTCCCGTCCTTGTTCTGAATGGGATGGACCCACTCCACGGCCGCCCGCCCGCGCGCGCGCGGCGCTGCGTGGGAGTGGGCGGCTCACAGACTGAAAGCTGAATGTCAGAGCGCCGCGCGGATGAATCACAGACACGGGGAGAGAGATGAGGAGGAGTGGGATGGAGAGGAAGGCTAAATCAGAGAGGTGGTTCAGGTCTGGAGGTGTGTGTGTGTGTGTGTGTGTGTGTGTGTGTGTGTGTGTGTGTGTGTGTGTGTGTGTGTGTGTGTGTGTGTGTGTGTGGCCTGCCTACCTGCTGCAGCTGTCAGCGGGAATCAAATAAAAGCAAAGTTCTGTTCCACCTTTTAAGTCACAAAATCTTAAAGAAGCCAAACTGCTCACAGCTAAACTCTCTGCTGCTTCGCTGATTATATTCATCCCACTTCTGTGTTTGACTGTTTTAATCTGCTCATCCAAACTCCAGGCAAAGACATTTCCAGCCGTTTTCCTTAAGATGTTCCTCGGTTTTACTGTAAAAACAACAAAATAGGAATTATTGAGTCACTGGACATTCGGACCACCAAAAGGAGCCAAAATCGATCTCATTTGGTTCAGTAATTTATTTCATGTCTTTCCGTCCTCTCTTTGCCCTTTTTCCTCTCAAGCTGCTAATGAATAAATTGCACTAGTGGCAATAAAAATGACAATAAAAGTAATGTCTTCACTGCAGTTTTTCAAATGTCTTTACGTCCCCCTCAGTCCTCACTGTGGGTGACGGGGGTTCAACTTTGTCGTCAAGCCTTATTTGTCACAGTTTGTTTTGTTTTTAACTGTTTCAATAATTTATCTGACTGTAGCTTTTAGCTTTGACCAGGAGCTGTTTTCTTGTTGCCATTTTCTGACCTATAAAGGTTGACGCACTCTCATGTTTTATTGAATGGCATATTTTCTTGTGTATTTCCTATTTTTGATGAAATGACTAAGAGAAACTGGCCTCTGTGTCACATCACATTATAAATAATCAATGGAAACCAAGACTCGTACACGGCTGATAAAAAGTAGATTCAAGCTCAGATACATTTGAAAAAAGCTAAAGTATAACCTACGTTATAGAAAAATAAAAGGTACTTTATATCCTTGGATTTAAAGAGCTGTGATGTTTGTCCTGAACACAAGATAAGTACAATTATAAAGACATAATTTTAAGGAGGAATTTAAAGTATTTCATTCTAGCATGTATGTTCTCAGACTGTGGAAGGAAGCTGCAGTTTCTGGACAAAACAAACAAAAACTCCTGCATGCACAAGGAAAACACACAGATTCGCTCAACACACCAATGCCTCTGACTGACATTTGACCCCTGGATCTTTTAACTGTTAGATGCCGTTGCTCCAACACACTGAGAATAAAAGTAAAGGTAAGATGTTTGGGGAATTGACCAACAATGTTGTTTCTGGAAGATGAAAAATATTCCAATGAGGGTTGTCAGATTAAAAACACCTTTTGAAAATAACAACCTTTAAGCAGGAATCAAAAGGAATGCTCATCAAGTCCTACTTTTAAAGGCTTGAAAATATCAGTCTGTGTAACGAGATTCACTTACTAAATAACAAATATATTTACGTGTTGATATTTTTGATTGATTAAATATGACTGTACCTATCATAGATATTAATGTAATATTTCTAGGCTTTTATTTGTGCATTTTTAGACCATCCTTTTTTGGGGATGACTACAATTAACATCTTTAGTGATGCCAGTTCAACAGCTTGGATTTAATCTGTAGTTTAACTTTTTTTTCATCATTATTATAATTATACAGACCGTAATATTGACCTGCAGTTTAACTACGAGACGCCACTACACTATGCCAAACTCTACAAAAATCTTCTGCCTGGATCGGTCTCCGTTTGTTTCATCAGAAGCGGCCATGTCGTCTTCAATCTGGCTGACTTCCTGTTGGAGATCTGACTCAGTCGTATAGTCCATAAGTTTTCATCAGGGGTTGCTGGTGGAGACATTCCTGAAGCCTGGTGTTATTCTGCCTGATCCTTTATCCTGTTTAGAACCTTATTCTGTAAATGAAACAGGAACAGAGCCTCAGCATGACGCCGCCGCCGCCATGCTTTACAGCATGTACAGAGTTCCTACTTTGCCTACAATAAAGCACTTTCTGTTCCCAAGAGTCCACTAAATTAGCATGTGAACATTTGTTTATGAAAGGACTCGATATTTAAAGGGATGCTCTATTTTTTCCTTCTGGGCTGTGTGTGATTATAAGGTTGACTTGAGTCTCAGAATGATCATCAGTCAGCAGACAGACTCATCTCCTTATAATCACGCGTCACAGTGTGGTGTCTGACACAAACATGGATGTATGCTTTAGGCCCATTATAGGAGCTAATTGCAGGGATTGAATCCTGACAGAGGAGTAAATCGATTGGCCCGCTGACAGTGGGAATGTTTCTGTTGCTCCGGCTGAGACCAAACACGCCTCATTGATTTCCACTAACCGTCTGCGGCCCGCCGGAACCGCGTCCGATGTGACAATCGGAACAAAATGAGTGTGTTCCTGCTTTCACTGTTTGATCCTCAGCGGCGGACTGAGGGGCAGCTGCTTTTCTACCAGGGCAAGAGAAGCGTGGTCCAAAAATAAGAGGCCTCTCTCCATTCACGGGGCTGCGGGTCGTGACGAGCAGAGATGTGTAGGATTCCCTGCCCACCTGGAGCGGATCTGAAATCCAACAGAAAAGTGGCTCCATCCCACTCATCTCCACCGGAGCCCACTCAGCAGTGAGCCGGACGAATTTAGCAAGCGGTGAAATGTGAGTAAGTTGAAAAGAAGAGCTTGTTAAACACCCCACACCAGCATCCCGGAGGAGAGTCATTTCACCCTCCTGCTGTGTCCTGTGGAGCATCATCCACAACCCTGAAGGGTATTAGCCTTAAAATCAAGCACAGCAGTTCATGGCCGCACAGAACCCCACGGTGGACGTTTCAGTGGATACTTCCAATGTGAATGGGCTTTGTGTGGCTTGTCCCAGTGACGCTGGACGGTTCTTCTGAATGGTTGGAGCAGAGGAGGCGTGGGCTGCCTGTGTCAGCAGAGCTGCAGGAGCCTCTCCTTCAACGCCGTGCTGCATTTGCGGGCTCTGAATAATCGGCGGAAATGTCAGCGCCACAGCTATATCGCAGCAACAGTTGTGATTCACAGTTTCTGGCTACGAGGTTAAAAACAACGCTCACTTCCCTTTTAGCTAGGATTGAATAAAAACGGAACAGAAGACCGGGAGTGATTCCCCCCCCCACTTGTTTATTTTGTTTATTTACTTTGATAAGTAGGTAAAAATGTTACCCTGTCCATGCTACTCAATATAAATGCCACGGTTCGTAGTTTTCTCTCTCTTGGCCAAGGAACAGAAAATACTTCTGTAAATCAATTAGTAAAGTTCTGATTCATATATTTATTTAAATAAAGTAACATCATTTTTGTTTCCCATTTCATCCGATTAAGATGTGTTCATTATGAGGCTACGGGGCGTTCAAAGAGTAAACTAAAAATCTATCTGACTAGAAAGCGGACTAATTGAAAATGACTAAATACATAAATAAAACCAGTTTAATCAGTCCGAGTAATGATATGTGAAACACCTTCCTCTGAAGCTTAGGCTATTTTTGCCCATCATTCTCGGTCGTCGTCTTCGGAGTTCCTTTTTCCCACCGGCCCTGAAGGCGGCGCCTCTGAGTCCGCCTCTGCGCTCCTGCAGGGAGGCTCGGAGCGGCCGCTGACTGGCTGCGTGGGGAGCCGGTGTGGGCGAAGCGGAGGACCCTCCTATAAAACCCGGGATCCCGCGAGCAGACGCGCTCGTCTCTCCCAGACAAGAGTCGCGTTTCCCGGCCTCACAGCTGCTTCGTCCCCCCTCCTCCCCGCTACAGCTCGGAACGGAACCGAGAATCCCACCCGCCCCCCCACGGCTTCCACAGGCAACGAGAGCTCCGTGTATGGTTGTGACTGACGCTCCAGCAAGGATGTCCCGGACCGACGAAGTGCACCGCATTACGGAGAATGTCTACAAGGTGAGCCGGTCCGTGTGGTTCGGGACACCTGCTGCACCTGGGCGGGTAATTACAACAGGGGAAGCCCGGTGTGGGTCAGGTGTCTTTAAAGTCTCGGTGCTTTAAAGCAAAAAAAAAAAAAAAAAAAAAAAAAATTGAAGTTATTTAGTTGTCAAACAGACTCGACCTCAAACAGGAGAGTTAATGATGAAATAAAAGATGGGGTCTGGAAATGGGGCTGAAGCGTTTAAATAATCAGTTCTCTTAACTGAACGAGTCAATAATCAGTTATCTTAGCTCAACTGATGAATGCTGCTGTGTGGAGTGTTTTAACCCTGATGTGCTTCTGCTTTGGGAAAATTTTTAGTTTGAAAAAAGTAAACCTCCAGAGTGACAGGATGCTTCAGGGCAGCTCAGTTCCACATATTTCAGAGCAGCACAGAAAACTCCTGCCTAAAGTTCCCTGATTTCTGAATTTTGTGAATTCCTGAACACGAACCCTTTCAGTTTTCATTTCCTCACTTGTTTTTATGCTCAGAAAAGGATTTATTTGGTAACAATAAGAGATGCTGGTGTAACCCGTTCTATCTGGCTGCTGGAAAACACCAGGTCTTCCCTGGACCTGGAGGGATCCTGCTCCTTCCTTGGCTTCCTCCGACATGGAGCTCCAGCTCAAGCCGGGAACAGGACTTGCGGTCGCGAGGCATTTCTCCTGATTCTCACTTTACTCAGCTCCCCATATGATGCCGATCGGAGACATGGAAACACGACGAGTTTCTGTCATGATGTGAGGAAAGCTGTCACTGTTCCACACGCCTCCTCACTTTGAGCGGCTCTGGGCAGACAGTCGGAGCTCCTGGTACCGGGGGAGGAGCGGAGGGGTGTGTATGGGTTCTCCTCCCCAGCTTGCTTGGTTATGTAATGATGCTGCTGAGATAATGATGGGAGTAATTTCAGCATACATCTGAATGGAAATGCTTTACAAAAAAAAAAAAAGACGATTTCAGTTAAAGTCCCAAGATATGTTGACCTTTGGAGGGAGTGTTTGAGTTATGAAGTCAAAAAAAATTGATGCTGAGGAACGTAATCGGACCAATCAGGGTTTTTTGTCATAGTTTTGCTGATTGGGATTTGACTGCATTTATTAGTTTTTTTTTTTTTTAGTTTTAGTTTTTTTTTTTTTTTTTTTTTTTTTTTGCCAAAGAACGATTGGGCATGAATCAGTGGGCTTGGAGGAAGTTCTTTGTTTCTCAGTTTGATTTTAACCAATGAGAACAAAGGAATCTGAGCTGATCCCGGTTGATCTGGAGCATCTCTATGGCTGCATTACTTCTCATAACAAAAATGACATTTTAAACAGCTATTTTAAAGAAAAACCCATTTCAGGATGATTAACTGAAGTAACGGAGGTAATGATAACGTTGTGGGGAAGGTCTTGCTGTCGCGGGCAGCCTGCTCTATCGCAGCACGGAGCCGCTGCCGGTTTGACCCCCTGTTGGCGTCTGATCGTAACAGCTCCATGCTCTCTGGCGTGGCATTTGGTGCTGCTGCGCCGAGCTCCCCCTTCCTCTTCCTCCCCAGGGGTGTTTTTGAGCCGCGTTTGGAGAAACTAACTGGTCTTTATTAATTCATTAAAAGCGTGGAGGATGAAGAGACGCAGAGGTGCCAGCTCCCATTAGGTAACACTCATGTCTGTTTCTCCTTGGAGGGAGGTGAGACAAATATCAGCAATTAAATCAGGCAGCATTAAGATGGGGATCAGGGACTTTAGCTGCACAACATCATTCTGTAGAACACTCTGTACTCATGGGATATACTGGTTGTATAACCTTACTGGCCCAGTTTCCAATGATTAAATAAATATGATTAGGATATTAATGACTGCTGCAAAAATTACAGTATTCAGTATCTATTAATTTGAGCCAGATTGAAAACAAGAAGTTTTCATACTGACATTTTGCAGAAGATGGTAATGGCTGATCTGCCTGAATGTGTCTTTTATAGATTATTTATTCATATGCATATTATAATCTGGTCATATAAAGTCTGACCAGCATCCTTATTTGCCTGGCTCCCACCTATTTCAGGCGTCCTGCATGTGGAGGGCTGTGCCTTGTTTCCTGTTTGTTGAAGCGTTAACTCTCAGAAGAAACAGCAGCAGCAGAGGACTGAAGCCCCAACCTCCTCCTCTGCTGCCGAAACAGAAGCTGAATGTAAATTTTGGATGACTCACGCTGGTGAATGTGTGGGGGCAGTCATTCCTGTCGTGTGTGGGAGTGTGTGTGCGTGTGTGTGTGTGTGTGTGTGGCCATACAGTTTCTGCTCTGTAACGACACGCCGGTTCAGAGCGTGCAGACTTCAGGTCGGCTGGGATGGTGACAGAGAGCGTCCCTGTGGATTCGGGTGGTGGAAGTTTGGGATGTTTTGATGCGGGTGAAGTGTGTCTCCTCAGGTTTGTTGTGGCGTCCGTGTGTGTTCAGCTGAGTGCTGTAATCCCAGCAGTGCTGCGGATCAGGAAGGCGAATAAAGCTGGAGGTGATGCTGCCTCCATTGTTCAGAGTTGGCACTGGATTATACACACATCAGCAGGTCAGCTCATTGATTTCAGAGCTTTTTGTTGTGCATTTACTCCAGTTTTCACCACCGTATTTGGAAAAGAGTTTACCCATCTTTGGGTTGGATGTTATTCTTTCTAAAAGCTGCTGTTTGGGTATAAATTTAAGAACCTATAAATGTTATTGGTGCCTTTTTTGCTTAATCTTCTGGCAATTTAGGGAGATTGAATTGTACATATGCCAACCATTTGGGTCCAACCCTTCTTGAAGTTCATCTCGCCAGCCTTCAGACACAATTCAAATATTCCTCCTGCAGAATTTCAATTAGGAAAATTGGTACAAGAGGAGAAGTAAACAATGAAGTTGGTTTTCTTTTTTAATTTTTTAATTTTTTATTTTTAATTGTAGTGCACCTGTAGTTCTGTAGTTTCAGCAATGGTAGCGGAGGAAATGAACGAAGCTGTTCAGTCTGTGTTGACCATACATAACATCGTCTTTTTCAGATTGGCACGGCTCTCTTCACAGTGGACGGTTGTTTACAGTACAGGACATTTCCAGGATGTGTCATAGCATTGAACTGGCACATTACTAACGTCATAGACAGATGTTAGCAATTGGGTAAAATTCAAAAGCTCAACAGAGTCCATGCCTCCAGGAAGAAATGGTTTCTCCAAAGCCCAGGTCTTCTGCACGAAGCAAAGTGTAGAACAACTGGAAGAACAACTAAGCTAGCAGAGGTCCAAATTAAACTGACCCATCTGTTTTAAACCAAACTACCCATTTAAGCAAAGTGAAAGTCTAGTTTTTGAAAGTATATCCACATTTTGTGTAGCATTGATGCTTCCCTCCAAGCTGCCCAGACTTCTTACTCCTCAGCCGCCTACTCCGGCTCTTTACCAAGACGTTCCAGTCACCACAAGCTGAGAGACATGATCTCTCGACTCTGTCATGACTCAGTCTCCTTCTGATCAAACGCGCTTCCAACAACCTCATGTGGGAGGCGACCGGGCGGCTTCTGGACCAGATGATTCGACTACTTCAACGGCTCCTTGTGGAGAAGCAGAAAACCTATTCAAAGTTACAAATAACTGAACTCAACCTTTGCCTGATCTCTGAGCCAAAAGAATTTCTCAACTTGTTCTTATGGGTTATTATTGTCTGGATCAGGTTTTGCTCTGCTTTTTGTTTTGATTCAGGACCCCAGCAGTTTATCCATTGGTGTGGCCTTGATATGCTTACAGTTAGCAGCGTGCTACAGTGTGATACTATAACACACTCTTTTTTTTCTTTTGTTGAAATTGTGCAAAAAAATTGTTTTTGCTCCAACTGTATTTAAGACCCATGCTAATGCTGCCTTTAATGTTTCCATTTCGGATTTATTCACATTTACAAAAATTAGCTGAGATTTCAATAAAAAAGTTTGAAAATTCCAGGAAATGTGAAAAATGTTACATTTTATGTGTAAGTTCTCATCCAATTCTGGACCTTTAACAAACAGAACTAGTTGTCTCAGAGCTCATTTCTGCCCTTGTGAACAGGCACCATTTTCAGTGTACCGCCTGCATGATGTGTGCAGATGTACAGCATCACTCTCCCCCGTGTCTGTGTTTCCTGACTGTATCTGGGGAGCATCCTCCAGTGATTACAGACGTAAATTTATGAGTGAACATTGCTGTGTAGTGACGTCCTCTATCTGCTACGGCAGTTTTCCTCCAAACCTGTTTGTTCTCTGGGGAGGGATTTTTCTCCTGTGTTTGTTAGTGTGTGTGTGAGTAATTCTACTGAACACTTTATCCCCACAGTCATGCAAGCACAATCTGCCCAGTCCTCTCTGCTTTTCGTCTCGTAGTCACACAAGCCGAGCGTCACTCCCGATTAAAAACAACTCTCCTCTGCCACAGATCAGGGCTTCATTTCGTTTTATTCCCCCACATATTGCTGTGGAGCTCTGAAGCTGTCGGCCAGCTGCTGTTGGAGGCAGAGCGCCGCAGGTGAGTGCCGTGGCATCTGTTGGGGCCGTGCTGCGTCAGATTGATGGAGGGAGGGAGGAACTTTTGATACAAGGCTCCATCATCATCATCATCATAATCCTCCACATTCTTTCACTCTGACAAGATGTGTACTGGCAGCAGAGAGCCTCTCCTGTCTGGGGTTGCGTGAGGTGAAGCCTGTAGCAGCCTCTGCGCTCATCTGCAGCGCAGCGATTAATCCAAACACTCCACTCAGGCAGACATTTCTCCAGTGTAAAGGCTTGAAACCAGTGGGCTCTCTTCTCCTGATTAGCTACGGCGCTTTCTCCTCGGTTGTCTGTGCCCGGAGCATCACAGCTGTCTTTGTGCTCCTGTCCCTGCAGAGAACCCCGTGCCCTCCTACTCGGGTTGGCTCCGGGGTGTGTTCCAGCTTTGAGCTTCGTTGCTGATCTTTGGATGGCGGCAGCGTGTGAGCATCATGGTGACGCTCTGTGAT